AAAAAAAAAAAAAAAGAATGTTCATCAAAAAGCTGTGTGGGAAAACATTGTTTAATACTACAAGAACAGAGATCAGCTGGGTGCAGTGTTTCACACATGTAATCTCAGCTATGTGAGAGGTAGAGATGGGAAGATTTCAGTTTGAAGCTAGCTTGGGTTAAGGGGAGACAAAGTTAGGGAGACCTCATCTTAATCAACAAGCATATGTGTTAGTGTGCATCTTATGATCCCAGCTATGTGGGTGGCATAGATAGAAGAAATGCAGTCCAAGACTGGCCTGGGCAAAAATATAAGCCTCTACTTGAAAAATAATGGAAACCAAAAACGGCTGGGTATTGCTAAGTAGGTAGGGAGCCTGTCTAACAAGCATGAGGCCCTGAGTTTAAATCCTACTACTGTGAGAAAAAAGAAGGAAAAGAAGGTCCAGAAACCAAACCAAAACAAAGAACAGTGATGAAATGAATAGCCATATTCTTAGCATCCAGGCCAAGATGAAGAAGACTCCCGACTAGGCCCCTGCTCACCTGAGTGTCGAGCCATCTGGCTGTCCATGACATCATTCTCTTTAAAATTTATTTATTTTTTACCAGTATAGACATACATCCATGGCATCTGGTGAGAATCACACATAACTGTCTCATCAGACACCAAATGATTTTGAGGGTCTTGTGTGGCAGGCGACCCCACCCCTGTAACATTCTTACGTACATCATATCCTGTCCGTGGTTGTGGTGTGTTTGGAAGAGTGGGTTTGTGTTGATTTACAAGTTCTACAGGACTTAAAGTGGTTTCTGGAAAGGGGCCCATGGGGATGATCCTCAAAATCCTTGCCTGTCTAAAATGTTTTTCTCTTACCTTCATGCACAAATACCAGGTCGGTCTTCTTGTATCACAATCCCTGTCTCTCACACTCACAAATGCAGGTCCATTAGTTTCCTTCCGTTGTTTCCCTACTCAGCTGAGAGTTCTGCCTCTGATCCAGTTTGCCTTTCTGAGTAGCTATTTGTATGATTATTTTGATGCTTATAGAATTTTTGCTTGATTCTTTTTATTTTTCGTGGGGAGGGATGGGGTCTGGTCTCAGGGTTCTAACTCAGGGCCTGGTGATGTTCCTTAGCTTTTTTTTTTTTTTTTTTTTGCTCAAAGCTGGTGTTCTACCACTTGAGCTACAGCTTCAGTTTCAGGTTTTGCTGGTTAACTGGAGATAAGAGTCTTTTTGGTCTTCCTTTACTCAGGCTGGCTTTGAGCCACAGTCCTCAGTTTGCTGAATAACTAGGGTTATAGGCATGAACCATCAGTGCCTGACAGAAGTGTATGTTTTTTGTTGTCAGTATCCTCCATTGTGTCATAAGGTTGAGAGCAAAGAATGTTAGAAAGTCACTACTGAGAGAACAATATTTAAATACTATGTGTGACTGATGTTTAACTTCCAAGGCTGTTAAGTTGTCATGTTTTCTTAGTTGTGTGCAATTTGTGGTTCTATTGTAAACACTCTTTTGGTTGGCATGTTGAAGAAGGATTATTGTTGGGAAGCTTGTAAGCTGTTAAATTTCAGGATAAGGTTCATCCTCAGCTGCATGTTTTTCTTGTTACAGCCCATATGGACGAAGACGGTCAGAGGACATTATTTCCTTTATAAAATCGGAAGTGCATCTTGCAATCCCTAATGTGGTAAGTATTATTAAAATGAGTGCCTTGTTGGTAATGTATTTAAAGAGTATAATATTAGGTAGAGCCCTGGCCTAGCATGAACCCTGGGTTCTATCCCTAGCACTGCAGATAAGTAAATAAAGAAAAACAAAGACTAGTGCATAGCTCATGATCTATATGATCTACTGAAACCTGGCGACAAGTAAGCACCTATCCTGCAAGTACAGTACAAATCACCTTACTGTTCTCTTAGTTCAGATCACAACAATCCCTCCTCACCCATTCATCTCCTAACTCAGCCTTCTCATGGACCAGCCCAAGGTTGGCCCGCTCACTCAGTGGAAGGGGATGGAGAGAGGTGGAGGTATAGGTCACAAGTGCTGGCAGATTATACCCTGGCTGTTTGTTTCCACAGGTGATGGTTCCTAGTCTAGATGACATTCAACAAGCCATTAACCGCATGATCCAGTTAACCCTGGAGGTCAGCAGGGGAGTGGCCCACTGGGGACAGCAGCAGTCCCGCCCAATCAAATCCGTTATTACCAGTAGCTCCCGCTCCGACGACCAGAATCACCCAAGCACAGGAAAACAGAAGAAAGAAGAAAGTAAGAGCTCTAAAACATCTGGCTTCAATCCCCAGCTTGGGGGGAGGGCGGGGTGGGGTGGTGGCTGCGGGGAAGTAGGAGGGACTAGGGAGTTAAAACACAACCTTAGAACTGTAATAGTAAATGGTTTTCATAGAGTTTCTTGGGTTTGACAGTGTATAGATTTTTGTATGTGCTGCCATATATTTTTTCATATTTTATATGTTGACTTGTTAACATTTTTAACTAAAAACACCAGTAGTCCATTCTTTTCATCTAAAACCAATATGTAGATAGTTCTTATTTTTCAGTCATAGATTTCTGTGTATGTGTGGCTTGAACTAGGACTTGAACTCAGATTTAGGTGATGTCCCATAGCTTTTGTGCTCAAGGCTAGCGCTCTACCACTTGAGCCACACCTGCATTACTGGCTTTATGGTGGTTAATTGGAGATTAGGGTCTCATGGACTTTTCCTGCCTGGTCTGGCTTTGAACCATGATTCTCAGATCTCAGACTCCTGAGTAGGTAGGATTATAGGCATGAACCATAAATACCTAGCAAGTGGTTTTGTTGTTGTTGTTTGTTTTTTCTAGGTTGTGGGGCTGAAACTCAGGGCCTGGGAGCTGTCCCTGAACTTTTCTGCTAAAGGCTAGTGCTCTACCACTTTAGGCCATAGATCCACTTTCAGTTTTCTGATGGTTAGTTGGAGAGAAGAGGCTCCTGGACTTTCTAATCCAGGCGGCTTTGAACCACAATCCTCAGATCTCAGCCACCTGAGTTCCTAAGATAATAGACATGAGCCACCAGCACCTGGCAAGTTTTTTTTTTATTTTTTTAAATCATTATAGTAACCTTGAAAGATAAAACTTCAACTTTAGCTCCAATTTTCTTTTCAGCATGATACTCGATCTGGGAAGCTTGTCTCATATTTTTGTAGCTGAATTATTAGTAACACTCCCAAACTGCTAACCAAACAAATGCTTACAATTAATGAATAGGTAAACAAATGAGGTATATCAGTATAGTGGAATTCTTCTCAGTGATTGGAACTGAGAATTGAATTGCCACGGCATGCTGTGTCATTATTTAATTAAATTAAAGGAGTAGGCATATCGTACAAGTATAAAGTATATTAACTAAATTATTTCAATATCTTTTTTTTTTGCTCTAATTTTTTTTTGCCAGTCATGGGGCTTGAACTCTGGCCCTGGGTGCTATCTTTGTGACTCTTCAGCTCAGTGCTAGTGCTCTACAACTTGAGCCACAGTGCCACTTCTAGTTTTTTGGTGATTTTTTTAGAACTAAGAGTGTCACAGACTTTCATGCTAGCTTTGAACTGTGATCCTCAGATCTCAGCCTCTTGAGTAGCTAGGATTACAGGTGTGAGCCACTGGCACCCAGCTTTTTGCTTAGATATAAAATAAAGTCATAGAGTAAGGCTTAAAGCAGACTGTGGTAAATTTGAAAGAACTAGTCAGCTTCAGCCAGTTAACTGTTCCTGTGTGGGAATGCCTCAGCTACCGGATTATACCACCTTAAAAGGAGAAACCGGGCATCTGGAATTGGATGTGAAATTTCATCATTTTCAGTTGTTATCCACTTAACAAAAGTTAAAGGTATGGCTGGGTGCCAGTGGCTCATGCCTATAATTCTAGAGACATGGAGGCTAAGATTAGGGGCATGGAGGTTCAAGTCCAACTGTGGCAGAAGTGTTCATAAGACTCCTTCTCAATTGATTTCTGGGCCCAGTGGCACACACCTGATCATCCTATCCAGGACAAGAAGCCTGACATAGGCACATGGTGATAGGAAGCAAAATACATTCTCAAATTTAACTAGCAAAAATCAGGGATGGAGGCATAACTCAGCAGGAAGAGTGCATGCTTACAAAACTCAAAACTCTGAGTTCTAGTGCCAATGGTTAATGATTGTTCAGTCTTTATTCCATTGTGAATTCTCTCATATGGACCAAACAAAAGTATCTGTGTGATCTCTGTTTAATGAGACAAGAGTTTTCAGTCAACACAGTGACACGAGCAGATTTGTGTTTTGGCCAAAGCTTTTGTAGTAGTGGTGTAGTTATTGCCTGATCTCTGTGTGCCAGACGCTGAGTAGAAGACAGCCATGGGATGTCTCATGTCCCTTGGAGGTAAGCCATGACAACTAGAGGTCATTTGGGTGATAGATGTGATCTTTTTCCATTGACTGTCTATACTGTTCCAGAGGACCCCGTTTCAACTCTTTTAACCTTTCATTAAGGGACTTTATAAAACTCAGGGGCTTTAACCAGTGCCTCATAGGTCTTCCTTTCTTACAACCCATTTTCTCCTGATGAGAGAAAGCCAGACCTCAAAATCTTAACTCAATATTTTCTTTTTTTTTTTCATTTTCCAAATCTTTATTTTTTTTAAAGATTATATATTATTTTAATCTAAAATTTCAGAAATGAGGAGATAGACACTTAAGGGACCATTTGAGATACATAAAAATTGGGTAGAAATGGAACAGTTTTCTAAGTCATTTCTACGCAGAATGCTTTCAACATGTATTTATACCAATATACCACCTTTCAATAAATGAAAACTAATGAAAATGCATTAATATATACAAAAAGAGAACATACCCACTAAACATTACTCTAATTTGTTCTTCAGTCCCATAGTTCAATAAACATGAAATTCCAGAAAGAATATCAGAGAAATACTACAAATAAAAATATTCATAATAGTTTTTGATAAATAATACATTAATTCATGTAAATGAGTATAAGAATCATGTAGCTGTGTTTTATGCTTAACTCAATATTTTCTTATGTGAAGTCGGCAGCTTCTAACTCTTAATTATTTGGAGGGAGTGCCTTTAAGAAAACCCATTAAATAGGAACAGTATGGCTATGGATATTGATGACATTTAAAGCTAAGTATAGACATTATATGTGGTGTGCGAACATCTGTCTTCAGGATCTTTTGAGGAAGTTATTCCTGCAAGAAAGCTGAAGAACTTTTACCCCGGGGTGGCAGAGCACAAGGATATTTCCAAGTTGGTCCTTCTCCTTTCCTCCTCCGTGAATTCTCTAAGAAAGGCGGCCAACGAAGCCCTGCAGGACTTTCAAAAGTACAAGAGTCTCTGGACGGAGGACCGAGATGTGAAAGTGAAGGTATCCCTCCACCACGTGTCATGTCCTTTAGATTTCAGTTGTTTGTGTCTAACTCTTGGGTGGGGGGAAATCATGAAGATTTCAGGGAGAATGACAGGAACTCATAAACAGGCTACAGATCCATGGGTGCCAAGCACTACATGCATGTATGGACAGTCTCAATGATTATGGGCTCTGCCAATTTTCATGTAATTCCCTGAAACATCAGGTACAGTCCTGTTCAGAGGCCAGGGTCTACCACACGTCTACAGACCCAGCTGTACTTCTGTTTAGTTGAGAAGCTTTAGAACTCTTCCAGTAAACTGGAAGATCTCCTGTCCAGCCTTTCATCTTCTCCCAAGATTTTTGGGATATCCATTGGCCCATGGTACATCAAAGGAAAAAGTATGTAAGAAAGTACAAATTTCTTCATTAAACTATTATAAGTGTGTAATAGGTTAAAAGTCTTTATACTTAAGCTTAAGAGTATAATAATGAATAAGAAAAAATACGAATTGTTGCCTTACTATAGGAGTTTTTGGCCAACAACCCTTCCCTGACTGAGATCAGATCTGAGATTCTCCACTATGCTACTTTTGAACAGGAGATTGATGAGTTGAAGCCCATCATTATTGTAGGGGCTCTTGAATTGCACACAGGTAACTAAAAAATATTTATTATGTAACGTATCTATATTTTCACCTGAAATGGTATTTTATTCATTTTATTTTTCTGTGACAGCTGGGGATTGAACTCAGGGGCTTTAACTTAGCACCTTGCACTCTCATTTGGCTTTCTTGATTATGATTCTTGCTCTACCAACGTGAGCCATGCCTTCAGTCTGGCATTTTGCTGGTAAATTGGAGATGGAGTCTCATCATTTTCTGTGTCTCATTTTCTGACTTTGAACTGAGATCCTCTGGATCTCAGCATCCTAAGTAGGAAAATAACAAGAAAATTAGGGCTGAGGTTTGACAGGGGAAGCCATAAATTTCACTCCATTGAAAGAAGTTTCTTTGAGGATAATAGGGGGCTGTTAATGAAATGACCAAGTTTGGAGCAGCGACTTCATCTCACACATCTCACCTGTAGGCTGTAGTGTCTCTTGAGTATGGATGAACATACCATGAAGAGAGGAGATGCGTTTTCAACATGTGGCAAGCATATAGTACATCCAGTCAGAGCAGCCACGTTTCAGGTGCTCAGTAGCCATGCGTGATTGATGAGCACTGAATCCCACAATCTGTTTGTGTCTGATTCTCAGATTACATGTACAGTGAATTTCTCTAGAATGCTGACTGTATGCTATTTTAATCTTTCTTGTCTTCATCAGAGCCCATGAAGTTAGCTTTATCAATTGAGGCGAAGGCCTGGAAGATGTTGCTCTGTCGATATTTGAATGAAGAATACAAAAAGAAAATGTTAGACATGATAGCATTTATCAATGAATACTTGAAAAAGTTGTCCAGACCCATCCGTGATTTAGATGATGTCAGATTTGCAATGGAAGCCTTGGCCTGTATTCGTGATAATGAAATCCAGATGGACATGACTTTGGGGCCAATTGAAGTAAGATTCTTTCCTTAGGTTAAAAAAAATACTGAAAAGTGATGCTGTTTGCATATTTTTAAATCTGTTATATGGTAAATCTACTTTCTGATATTGGGAGAATTTTATAAGTTGTTTCGAGTTAACAATATAGAGAGCATTTTAGGGATCTTGTACAGGCCTAGGTAGTGTTGAGTTTTTGATGGGAACACTATTGTTTCACAGAGAAGACAGATTGCATCCTCTCTTGGAATTCCTGATATGTTAGGCAAGTCTTTGTTTTCTGTAGAAACCACATGTAACCACAGACAAGCCATGGGCATTCCAAAGGCAGTAGAGCCTCGCCAGCCAGAAATTGCTGGAGTCGAAATCAGCAAAAGACAATGTTAGTGGAAGGTGGGGTATTCGTTTCCTATTGCAGCAATAACAAGTTAACGAGAACGTAAATTTGAAATGGCTTAGTACGTGTTTAAAGTTTTTAAAACAACACAAACTTACTTTCTAGTCCTAGCCATCAGAAGGGAATAATGGGTCTTTTTTTTTTTAATAATGGGTCTTATAGGGCTAAAATCGATCAAGATTTCAGCAGGACTGTGTTATTTTTGGAGCTTTAGGGGAGAATCCATTCCTAGTCTTTCTCTAGCTTGTATAGGCTGCCCACATTCCTTGTCATGGCCTACTACCAGCAATGGTCTCATTCCTACCCCTCCTTCTGTCATTAGCTCTTCTCTGACCAACTATTCTGTCTCCCTTTTCCTTTATAAAGAACTTTGTGATTAGATTAAACCCACCTGTGTACTCTGGCATACTTCTCCACTGAAATCTCCTTAATTGAGTTAGAGTTTCAATGTCCCTTTTTGTCATATAGCATATTCATAGGCTTTGGGGAACCCAGACTATTGACAACATTGGAGAAGCCTTTATTTTGTTTGTCACAAGTATTTTCTGACTCATGATGAAAATAAAAACCAGGCTCCTCATTTTATGATTATTTCTTAAGTTTTACCTGCAGTATTTGGGAGTTGACACTTCCCCTTCCTCTCCTTGATACCCAGTGCTGAGAGCTATTTTATGCTTTCTTCAACACATTTAGAGTTTATACTCTGATAGCTGATGGATTTCATACTTTTAAGATAAAGTCTTAAAGTTTTTGGAGTTTTGGATGTGATCATCCCTTCCTCAAGATGTAATAAATTATTTTATCTTTCCCCTGAATATGGAAGCTTAATGCTTTGGTGTACCTTAGTTTGGTAAATTCAGTTGCCAGCCATTCCTTGAACCATTCAAGATTCTTTGCTTCAGACTATCGTGCCCATCATCATTTCATTCCACTCCTTATATGGCCAACTCCAGTTTAATACAGTATGAGAAATTATTCTGCATGGCATTGGCACAAGAACAAAGAGAGAGAGAGACTGAAAATTACTCTAAGAGTATTTTTCTAAGGTAATATTTCTTCATGCAATCTGCTTATACCTCCACCAGAATCACCTAGGTGCTTGTCCAATGCAGATTTCTAAGCCTAACTTCTGTAGACAATACGTGGAAGTCAGTAAAATGCCAAAGATACTTTCTCTGTAGCTTTACTTTTGGAAACCATTCTTGTAGAATCTGCTGTGTTTGAAGACAGAACCTGCCTAGAAAGCATGTGAGTCCTTTGGCAGTTGCTTCCCAGGATATTTCTGAACTCCATCTCCTCTTTATAGGAAGCCTATGGTATTTTAAACAGATTCGAAGTTGAAGTAACCAAAGAAGAATCTGAAGCGGTTGATACCTTGAGATACTCATTCAACAAACTGCAGAGCAAAGCTGTAAGTATTTTTTTTGTTAAGTAACTATTTCTAGAAAGATTTATTCCATACATTTTGACAATTTAATTGTCATTGATGACATACAATCCATGTATATTCCAGGTTTCTGTACAAGATGAACTAGTTCAAGTGCAGCCAAAGTTTAAGAGCAATCTCCTTGAGGCTGTTGAAGTTTTTCGCGAGGATGTCACAAACTTTGCAGAAGCCTATGAGACGGTAATTGACATGTTAGCACACTAGGTGGTACAAGGTCCTGTGACAGTTCATATGAAATGAATAGTAAACCTGGAGACACACATTGTCTGTAAGCAGCCTATTGTATTTGCCTCATCAGCAAGGACGGCTGTTCCTTTAAGCAGTAGTGGAAGAAAGCAGATGTGATTGATAAAGGAGCAACAACTTCTGAGCTTGGGTAGGAAATGAACTGTCTGGTTTTAACCTGTCTCAGAGCCAGAATTCTCAAAGGGTTTCTGGTGGAGAATATAATAGATTTGTTCAAAAGGTACACAAAACACACCTAGTACTTAGGCTAACATGCAACTCATTTTTCATTGTCACTGACTCTTAAGAGAACCAAAAGGATTTTTGAAAATGAATAATATACATCATGCTGGATTAGTGCTACAAACTTCCTATATATATATATATATATATATATATATACACACACATAAGTGCACATGTATGTGTTTGTATATTTTACAGATATATGTATATATATATATCTATATATCTTATACATGTATACATTTTTTTGAGACAGGGTCTTGCTATAGCCCACACTGTCTTGAACTCACGATTCTCCTGCCTCACCCTCCCAGAGAGTCAGTACACATGACTAACAGGTTATTTTTAATTTTTTAACTGGTATTAAACTTATCTCTTTTGCTTGAATTAACTAATATTGGTTTGCCCTTTTAATTTATTGTTGAAGTTAAAATGGAGTTGATGGGGTTGGGAAGGTGGCTCAGTGGTAGAGCGCTTGCCTTGCATGCATGAGGCCCTGGGTTTGATTCCCCAGTACCACATGAGCAAAAAGGAAAAAAGCCAGAAGTGGTGCTGTGGCTCAAGTGGTAGAGTACAAGTGGTACAGCGCCCAGGTCCAGAGTTCAGGCCCATGACCAGACCCCCCCCCCAAAAAAAAAATGGAGTTGAGATTTAAAGAAACCCTGAGCAGACAGAGCAGTTTGGGCACCAGAAAATGACATGAAACTTGCTCGATTCGCAAACAAAAGCAAAACTTAACCCAAGTTGTTTATAAATGTCTTTTCCTTATTAGAAAAAGCTGAACTTAATTGAAACAAATGAGAAACAGCAGACAACCTGGCAATTAGAATACCTGGGGCTTTTCAGCAGGACGAGTAGAGAAGGCAGAGCAATAACTGTGACCAGCCACATGTTTTCTCTGTTTTGTTCCATGTGTATCTCATAAAACCCATTCCTTACAGCAGTGGATGGAGCCCTGAGCCACTTCTGGTTTGGATCAGTCTGATTCTTGAATCACTGTGTACTCAAACTCTTCCATATGTTATCATGCCTCAGTTTACCTTTTACACATGATGTGATCATCTTCATGATTGTACAGCACTTGTTAAGATCATTAATACTCGTCATTTCCTACTGGGAACAGTCTTTGTTCTTTTGATTTGTTACTGTGTAGGATGTTCTTTCATTTCTTTGTTTTGGGGGGTGGTTATTTTTGGGGGGATTGCTGTGCAAATGTGTTTGTACCATGAGAGACTGACTGCTGCTTCCACATACCCAACTTAATGTGTGTCTCTGTTTTCATCCTGGCCTGAACAATTAGCACAAACAGGCCATTTTCATTATTTTAATCACAGCCACGGCATCATCCTTCATAATCCTGAGCAAAATTCAGCGTGGTTTAGGCACAGTCTTTATTAGCTGTGTCAGGTCCTTTAAAAATGAATGGAGGCTGGAATGATGGAAATAGTTCAAGGTGATTGTGGTCATGGTTGCCCGGCTCTGAAAATAGTAAAAGCCACTGAATTGTGCACTTTAAGTGGGTAGATTGTAGAGCATGTAAATTAGATCTCAGTAGAGCTGTTACAGGAAATAAATGAGAGTGCAGAATTTTACCATTTAAATGAAAAAAATGTGTATCTAACAGGAAATACTAGATATTGATAATAAGTATGATTCAGAATGAAAATGGAGATTATATTTTTCCTTACAGGAAGGACCTATGGTTCCAAACATACCACCCCAAGAAGCCAGCAACAGGCTACAGATATTTCAGGTAAAAACCCCACTTTTTTTGTTGGTTACATTGATGTACATACAGCCTTTTGAAGTATAGTCTTCTAGAGTCTACTTAATTAAGAAGTAATTTCGTTTAGTGTGGTAGTGCACTACTATAATGAATCCCAGATAACTGAGAAGCAGGGAGAGAGGGAAGATTGTGAGTTTGAGGCCAGTGTGGGCAAAGTTATCAAGATCCTATCTCAAAAACAGAAATCAAACAAAAAGGACTGAGGTGTAGCTTAACAGCTGTGCATCTAGTATGAAAGAGGCCCTGGGTTCAATTCCCAGTACCACAAAAGAGAAAAAAAAGAATTTTATATAAAAAACAATTTTATATAAAACAAATAATTTTAGAATATGTGAAAGTAAGCTTTCCTAAGTGCTTAACTTCCCTATGCTATATAGGTAGGTATACATATAAATTTGCTAAATAAACTGCAACTTTTATTATGATGAATTCTACTTTAATGGGATCTGACACAATTTAAAAATCTTTGTTGCAGGCCAACTTTGATGATCTCTGGAGGAAATTTGTTACCTATTCATCTGGTGAACAGCTATTTGGATTGCCCGTAACCGACTATGAGGTTTTACACAAAACTAGGTAAGTTTACAAAATGCCCAAAGAGTTGCCTGTAGAGAATTACTGTTGCAGTAGAAGATTCTGGTCATTGTCAAATCCTTCTCTCATGCAGGAAAGCACAAAGTTAGAGACTTCTAACTATTCTCCTTACTCCTGCCACTTTAGACACTGACTTTATATATAAAAGGAAGCTTCTAGGGAAGTAGAAAATACTCTGCAAAAACTCTGGATATTTATGATCAAAAGTTAACTTGTAGCCAAACACCAGTGGCCCATGCCTATAATCCATTTTTAAAAACAGCTACTCAGGATGCTGAGATCTGAGGAACATGTTTCAAAGCTAGCCCAGGCAGGAAAAGTTCAAGAGACTCTTATCTCCAATTAACCACCAAAAAGCTGGAAATGGAGATGTGGTTCAAGTGATAAGAGTGCTAGCTATGAGCAAAAAAGCTCAGGGACAGCAGCAGGTCCTGAGTTCAAGCAGCAGGATGGCATACACATAAAAAGTTAGCTTGTACTTTACATTTTCTTTCACTAGTTTTGAATATGTCACAGATGGCTGCACTATTTTATCATATATACATGTATTACCTACTTCTGGTCCTTGTTCATGTGTGAAATGTACCAAACAAACCTTGCTTAAACAATTGTAAATAATAAAAACACAGGGTTACTTGTCTATCTCAGAAAATTCTTATTACACAATTTTGCCCAATGGGGCCATTGGTTCTCCTGATATATATGTATTCAAATCTCTTGTATACTTATACAGTTGAATAAAACTCACCTAGGCAATGATCTGGAGACTCATATAGGATCTTCAGTGTGAGGTGCAGCATTCTGCCTCTTTGCTATCGGCTACTGAGGAAAGAGATTCTTTTATCCATTTTCTTCTCTGCTGTGTTAGGAAGAAAATGAAAATTTCAGCTGTAATAAGTGGAACATTATAGACATGTCTCCAAATTTCTGTCCTGGTGCTTTTCTTGAGAGATGATATATTGCTTCCAGAAACACAGGAAGCAACTGGAAAGAGGATTTTTGTACTGTGTATTAGCCTTTAGGAGATGGTTTTCCTTCTTTTTTATTATTCTCGTCATACGTGGCTCAGGTGGGAATATCCAGTGGGGATAATGGAATCAAGAATCAGAAAAATACAATAATTCAGAGTATAGTACATTTGTCTTAGATTTATAAGAAGATCTAGTTCTTTCCTTTTCAGAAGGAAAGAGGGAGTTACAGTATGATTGATATCGAGTTATAGTACCATTTGGAGTGTTAAGGAACTTGATCTTATTGGTAGAGTTTTAACAGAGTCTTCAACTTCATATGAGAAGCCATGGTCTTATGACTAGGAGACACAATACACATAATTGTGAGATACTGATTGAATGTATGTGTCCTGTCCTCTCTACTAGTGGAATACATTTTTAAAAACAGACTTGTGATGACTTAATTGTTTTATTCTCCAGGAAAGAACTGAATTTGCTGCAGAAACTGTATGGCCTTTATGACACTGTCATGGGCAGTATTAGCGGGTACTATGAAATTCTCTGGGGTGATGTAGATATTGAGAAAATCAATGCAGAATTACTAGAATTTCAGAACAGGTGAGTTTCCACTGTGTTAATTTGTCTTTTTATACTGCTTATCTTTTTTTTTTTTTTAGTATCCTATTGGTTTTTCACAAGGTAATACTGATATAATATTCTACATATTATATAGAAATAGATTCCCTACCATCTTTTTTTTGTCAGTCCTGGGACTTGAACTCAAGGCCTAGGCACTGTCCCTGAGCTTTTGCTCAAGGCTAGCACTCTTATCACTTGAACCACAGCACTACTTCCATTTTTTTGTGTTTTTTTTTTTTTTTTAGTAGTTTATTGGAGATAAGAGACAGATTTTCCTGCCTGGGTTGGCTTTGAATCATGATCCTCAAATCTTAGCCCTCTGAGTTGCTAGGATTACAGGTGTGAGCGACTGATACTCAGCTTCCTACTACCACCTTTAACAACATGCAAAGATAATGAGGTTTTTTTCTCTTTCTCTCTGAAAGATGTCGTAAACTTCCTAAGGGGCTTAAAGATTGGCAAGCTTTTTTGGATCTAAAGAAAAGAATTGATGACTTCAGTGAGTCTTGTCCGCTATTAGAAATGATGACCAATAAGGCAATGAAACAGAGGCACTGGGATCGAATCTCTGAGTTAACTGGAACCCCATTCGATGTGGAATCGGATTCTTTTTGCCTTAGAAATATCATGGAAGCTCCACTCCTTAAAAACAAGGATGATATCGAGGTGTGCAGGTGGATGGGGTCTATCAATGGTTCATCCAGACTATCACTTTTGTCTTTTCTGAGTAATGTACAAATCAACGATTTGTATTTTTCCCTCAGTGTGACTTAGCTTTCCTTGCTTAATGGTCTTATAGTTTCCTCTCCTACTGCCCACCTCTCCCTCAGCCCCAGGCCAAGAACCTACTGTAGTAGCGGTAGTATCTCCCTGTTGTGCTTTGATAGATGGATCTCGACTCTGGGTGGTGTGGTCAAGATACTGGCATCACAGCATCTTCTCATCACATAGCTAGATGGCACCTGGAAACCTCGGCCCTGCAGCTCCTCTTAGGCCAGGTCTAGTTGCCTATTTTACAGGAACCAGAGACCTGGTCCCCACTGGCCATTGTCCATACACCTGAGCTTCTGTGCTACCCTGTGGTTTGCATCTTTCTCACTTCTCACGGCCTTTATTTTTAATGTGCCTTTGTGCGCGCGCGCGTGCTTGTGCGTGCATATAAAGTTTACACACCTGTGATCCCATCTATTTGGGACACAAAGGTAGGAGGATGGAGGTTGTCTCCAATTGGTTCCCTTCCCTTCCCTCTCTCTTCCCCCCCAAGGAAAAGCCAAAAGTGGTAGAACATAAGCCAGGCACTGGTGGCTCACACCTGTAATTCTAGCTACTCAGGGGACTGAGATTAAGGATTGTGGTTCAAAGCCAAGTCAGGCAAAAAAATCTGTGAGACTCTTTATCTCCAATTAACCACCAAAAAGCCAGAATTGGAGCTATGGCTCAAGTGGTAAAGTGCCAGCTTTGAGCAAGAGAGTTTAGGGACCTGAGTTCAAGCTCCAGGACCAGCATAATAAAAACAAAACAAAAAAGCCCAGTAAGGATGCAAGGTTATGAGTTCAAGCTCCAGTGCTGGTATAAAACAAAACAAATTTTAAGTAATTCTAGGGGTCAGTGATCAGCACTTGGTACCCTGAAAAGCATCCTGTTGGTCCACACACAAGCCCTACTGTTAGCCCACTGGATTCCATAAGTGACTGGGTTCCCTGCCACTGCAGGAAGTATTTTCCTTCACTTTCCCTGGCCATCTTCTGCTGGACTCCTACCTGCTCGCCACGAGACCTTTCCTACACAGAGCAGCGGCGAATCGGCGCATCATCTCTCCTCCCTCCCCACTCACACAGGGCACAGCGCACGACATCACTGCACACTAATTTGTACTATATTTAATTGTGGAAATTCCTTGTAAATCCTTTCCTTCTCTGTGATTCTATGACGTTTGTATGAAGTCAGTTGAGGTATGATAGGGAAAATACATTATTACCTTTATTTTCCTTTATGACACTTTTATATCAAGGATTATATATAAAAAACCCTCCACAAAACTGTGGGGAAACCCATGAGAAAAAAGTAGTGTTAACTTGTGAACAAATAAGGTATTGTATTAAGGCCAGAACAGGCAAGAATATGGTAATGCCTTGCAAACATTCAGTACTATCCGTCTTGATCAATGTCATTCCTTTCATCTATGTTTGTAAAACATTCCAGTTAGAGCTGGGCCACATGTATAATCCTAGCTACTCAGGAGGCTGAGGTCTGAGGATCACAGTTCAAAGCCAGCCCAGGCAGGAAAGTCTGTGAGACTCTTTACTAAACCACTAAGAAAACCGGAAGTGATGTTGTGGCTCAAGGAGTGGAGTGCTCGCCTTGAGCTGAAGAGCTGAGGGACAGCGCCTAGGCCCAAAGTTCAAGCCCCATGACTGACCAAAAAACCCCAAAACCCTCCAGTTAGAAACATAATAATAATGAAAAGACAGGTTCCCTTGCCTCCTGTGTTACAAGAAAATAATGAGTAGTTAGTGCGTCCCATGGGTCTGGACTGAACCTGCAACACAGGGGATTCTTCACTCAGTCACAAAACCACTCACTTAACCGGGTGACTTCTGGATCCCTTCCAAGTACACATTCTGCGATTTCATGATACACTTAATTGATTTTATGATACACTTAATTATATGTAGTTAGGAACATCCTGACATGTTCTTTGATCTTTCTCTGAAGGATATTTGCATATCTGCCAGTAAGGAAAAGGATATTGAAGCCAAGCTGAGTCTAGTGGTTGATAATTGGACCAATCAGAACCTGAGTTTTGCAACATTTAAAGGGAAGGGAGAACTCCTGCTCAAAGGAACTGAATCGGGAGAAATTATCACTTTGATGGAGGATAGCTTAATGGTCTTAGGCTCCTTGCTAAGCAACAGGTAATTTTTTTAAACTTGGGGGAGAGGTTTCGATTTTATATTTATGATTATAAAATACTAGCAAAAGCCCAGCTTTTCATTAAGAGTCTGCCCTACACGGCTGGTTCTTGTCTGTTGTAGATGAAGTGCCTGTTTTCTCTAAAAATCATGACTCTACCTCTTGTTTAACGGCACTCATCTCACCTTCCGTATTTTTCCGGAGTGTGCCCTCATAATTATCCCCGCCCCCCAAGTTGATAACTTATCCTCTGAACATTGTAGTTCCCCACAGAGGCAACCACTTCATTTTATCTTCTTTCTCTTTTGTTCCTCCAATTTGTCACCATTTCTCTCGTTGGCTAACACTGTTCAAGAAGTCATCCAATGCAATCCATTCTCAAAGGAAAGATTTACATTTTTTTCTAAGGGTGAAAAGCGGCTACTTCTGTTTTGGCTCCACGGTGTCTTGAACGAGGCTACAGTCATCACTGAACCACGGGACCTGCTCAGAGGTGCATGTGGTCTCAAGTACAGAAAATTCCAGTGGGACTCAGCTTAGTCTGGATATTTGTAACCTCCTATCTCCTAGCTGAACTGCAGTAGTTCTTGACTATTCCTTCTCCTAATATGCCTAAGGAATGTGTCACCAGCCCCATCATTCACAGAGATCCAAGTCTGAGGAACATACAAATTCTAATCCAATTGGATATGAAGTTACAAGGGGAGTTGCACATAAAATGATTCCGAGGACATAAGGAACCCAGTTGTCCAGGTCATAAAAGGCATTTTTTTTTTTTTTACAACATTGCTTCCAGAGAAGTTACAGGTCACACAGCCACGCATCAGATAGTACCGGCAAAAATTCCGTTCTGTGGGTGGGTACCTTCAGGTCTGCATCAGGAAAAGTTTGAAGGCCCTAGACAACAGGGTCCTCCCCAGGAAAGGCTGCTATGCCGCTTTACAGATGTTTCGCTTTGCTACAAACTGAAGGCAGCCTCTTGCTAAAGCAAGTTAGAACTATAGGTACGTGGTGTCTACACCTAGTGGCTGCCCATGACCACATCCATGCATGGCATCTGGCTCTGTTTCTTGTCTTTCTCCATTGTATGCAGCTTGATTTCTCACAAACACTTCAACTATCTCTGGTGACCAAAAAAAAAAAAAAAAAGGAGCTCTGCTATTTGGGGATAGCTCTCCTGAATCCCTCTCTTGTTTTTAACTCTTAATTTTCTTTCTTTTTTTTTTTAGTTTGTTTCTTTTGTGTGTGCTGGTATTGGGGCTTGAACTCATGGACTTGTATTTTTGCTTAGCATTTTGCTCAAGGCTGGAGCCTAACCACCTGAGCCATGCCTCCAGTTCTCTCCTGAATCTCTAGCACTGCAGAATCTAGCTACAGCTCTTGGAATTCTCCATGTGGGGGTGGGAAAGGGAAACCTGCATATGGACATGAGGTTTCAAGCTTGATGCCGGCATTGGAGCAGTCCTCTCTCCAAATGACCTGGCAATGCCTCTTTTCTGATCCTAGAGGTCAGATTTGTTCTGCTCCTTTCCAGATGGTCTTGGGGATGAACCCAGATTCAGTAATCCAGAGGCATATGGCAAACTGTCTTTGGTGCTGCTCTGACAGCAGACACAGAAGTCTGGGAAAGCATCTTACTTATTCCTTATTATTCTGTTCCTCTCAGGAGCAACCAGAGCACTAATCCCTTTTAGTATCTTTGCCCTCAAAGTAGGTCTAACTTCCTATTTATGATTGACAACACAGGCCAATATGTAAAATACCTGTAATTATATGTGTTTTATTCACAATTTCATTAGCTGTGTGATTCTTATTAAGGATTATCTCTTTCACTTACAATGAATAGTTCTCTGGCAATTTGCTTTGTGAGGCTGTACTGTTTTCTAATCTTCTTGAAACATAATCAAGTTTGTTGTTCTCACTCTTAGATATAATGCTCCGTTTAAAAAAAGTATCCAGAACTGGGTGTATAAACTGTCTACTTCCTCGGACATCATTGAAGAGTGGCTGGTGGTGCAAAACCTTTGGGTCTACCTTGAAGCCGTCTTCGTGGGGGGAGATATTGCCAAGCAGCTGCCTCAGGTGAACACAGCCTTTGTAATTCCTGAGGAGCCCATCCTGTGTGGATTACCTCTATGTCTGACAAAGTCTTCTCGATGGTATCAGGGATTGGCCCACTTAGCTGTTTATTTAAACTTTTATGAGGGGGCACGTACACACACGTGGTATTGACTTCTGATTTGTATTAGTAGAAAGAAGAAATTCACATATTTTCAAACAATGAGAAATCATGAGATGTAGTGCACTTTCTAATTCAGTACCATGCAATTATAGTAGGTCATCTTTTTCAAGAAGTTCATCTTTCTTTTTCCATTCATGGGGCTTGAACTCTGGGCCTGGGCACTGTTTCTCAGCTCTCCAGCTCAAGGGGAGCGCTCTACCACTTGAGCCACAGCACCACTTCCGAAAAGCTCATCTGAACATTACAATAATCCTTAGAGAATAGTATTAGACTTAACCTGGGGGCTTCTGGAAGCATGGCTCAAAGTGATAGGGTACCTACCTGCAATTGATCTGTATTCTGTAAACATATATTCTTAGTAAATCTACTACTAGCAAAACATACTGGCCAGAAAGGCAGCCTTAACTGTCTGTAATAAAACTATAAAAATGGCTTAAAGCAGCAGTGGCTCACTCCTTCCTATAATCTTAGCTGACATCTGAAGATCACAGTTCAAAGCTAGCTTGGGCAGGAAAGTCTGTGAGACTCTCATTGTCAGTTAACCACACAAAAAATCAGAAATGGAGCTGTGGCTCAAATGGTAGAGCGCTAGCCTTGAGCACAAAAGCTCAGGGATGGTGCCTAGCCTCTGACTTCAAGCCTCAGGACCAGCATAGAAAAAAAAAGTCTCTATTAAGCACTACTGAAGTCTTTAAAATAGCTGTCAGTAAATAACTGACACTTTTATACTAGGAAGGTAACTTTCCTCATAAAATTAAACTAGCTCTTCCTAAATTTCTCTATCTATAAACAGGATCTATATAGATTATAAATCAAGGACAAAGGTATTGGAAAATGACCCATTCCCCTTCGTAACCTATTTTTGGAGCATAAAACTAAGATATGTTATTTTTATTTGAATTAGAAAGTTGCATTTTAAAAAGAGACATGTTTATGCTAATTTCTGGTGGCATTTTTGGAATGGAATGGAAAGTTTAGAGCCACCCATAGTAAACAAGAAATTTTCATTTACAATATTGTAAATGAAGCTTTGTTTTGGGTTTTCTATGTGTTGCCTCCCCTCTTCCACTCCCTACCTCCACCCCCAGGGACTATTGAACTGTAATTATTCCAAGGACCCTCAGATAAAATTATTTTCATGCTTCTTTGGTTTGTTCATCAAACCAAAACACCTGGGGTGCAGAAATACTAGATTTGAACTTGGAGTTGATAGCTCTGCGAATTAATCATGTGGCACTTCAAAAATACATTCAATGCGAAGAAACAGAAATAAGTGATAAACCCTATTGTGGTAGAGCAGTATTGCATTAAGCAGCTTTATGAAGTCTGAAGCTTAGGGCTTCAGAATTAATTCAGATGGAAATAATTGTCTAAATTCTGTAGCCTGGGATGCATAGAAGCTGGTTTGAAGAACTGTAAGAAATTCCAAAGTGAAGCCTTTGCTTCTTAATTATCCAGATGCTAATCTTTAGTGGCTGTGCATTTGTTTCTAGGAAGCAAAACGTTTTCAGAATATTGACAAGTCGTGGGTAAAAATCATGCAGAGAGCTCACGAGAACCCCAATGTGATCAGTTGTTGTGTTGGAGATGAGACCATGGGACAGCTTTTGCCTCATTTACACGAACAGCTGGAAGTGTGTCAGAAGTCACTTTCAGGGTAGGAACTGCATTTTAAAATTACAAATCAAATAATATGCAATGGTGGTTGGCTTTTGTTGTTGTTTTTGTCAGTGTGGGGCTTAACTCAGGGTCTGGCTGTGCCTGAGCTTTTTTGGTAAAGGCTAGTACTCTACCACTTTGAGCCACAGCGCCACTTCTGGTTTTCTAGTAGTTAATTAGAGATAAGAAGCTCACAGATTTCCTTCCCTGGCTGGCTTTAAACTACAATCTTCAGATCTCAGCCTCTTGAGGAGCTAGGATTACAGGCATGAGGCACCAGCTCTCAGCCTGCAAATGGTATTCTATCTCCACCCAATTACTAACACTGACTGCAAGTCTGTGAGGTTTTTTGTTTGTTTTAGTGATGGCTAAACTAGGACTAGGAATTTCAAATTCACATAAAGCTAATTTTTCTGTAAGAAAAGATATCTTTTTCTTCGTGTGGGTAAGTGAAGGCATTGTAATAGTTTCCTATGGCTGTGGTGATAAATCACCATCACCCAGGGAACATTTTTTCACTCACATGAATAGTATTGTATCACATAGACTTCTAGAAAGCCAAGGCCAAGGGTCTGTTCCCTCTGAAGCTTGCCTTTCAGTTTGTGGGGGCTCTAGGAATTGCCATAACTCTCATTTCTGTCTTTGTCTTTCCATGGCCTTCTCTTTTCCCTCTGTTTCCCCAGGAGCACACTTGCCACTGGATTTAGTGCTTACCTACTTGCTAAAGGAGAGAGTCTTCTGATCCCACACTTCCTTACATCTGCAGAGACCTCCTTCCAATAAGGTCGCATGTGCAGATTCCAGGAAACAGAAGACAGACCTAACTTTTGCAGAGGTCTTTCCCTTCAGTCCATTGCTGAAACTAGAGGCATTTTTGGAGGATAGTTTACCAGGCATATTCACAGATAATTAAATTCCTAAAACGATTTTTTTCCCTTAAAATTGATTTTGTCACAATTTGTATAAGGTGGTGATATATCCTGGTTTGTCCCCATTTATGCCCATGTCCTAGTTTCATGGGGAGTTGTTCTACATTCTACTCTCTATGTCCTGGTTTGGAGATAAAATGGTGGTCTCGACCTGGGTTTAAGCCATAAGGTTCCCAAACTTGCACAAAAGCCCCAGGAGTCACAGGGAACCTGTAGCTCACATCTAGTCCTAGCTACTCAAGAGGCTGAAATCTGACGATCACGTTTCAAAGCTAGCCCAGGCAGGAAAGTCCCTGAGAAACTCTTATCTCTAACCACTCAAAACCTGGAAGTGATACTCTGGGTCGAAGTAGTAGAGTACTAGCCTTGAGCAAAAGAGCTCAGGTTCAGTGCCCCGGCCCTGACTTTAAGCCCCAAGACCTAGAAGCATGGGAGTTCTAATGATGAGATAGGTGATGCTGGATGAGAGGAAGCTTTGTTCTGAATCATTTCCCCTAGTGTCCTCGAGGCAGAGTGTGGACTTTGTTCTTACCAAGCATTCCAGAAGAAAGCAGGGAAATCCCAATAGGTGTTTGCTGTTATTTTACTGAAGATGTTGGTGATTAAAAAATGAATAATGCAGTAAAAATCATCTGGTAACTAGCTGTCACTTTACTTGAAGGTATTTGGAGAAGAAACGACTATTGTTTCCAAGATTTTTCTTTGTATCTGATCCAGTTCTTCTGGAAATCCTTGGACAAGCCAGTGATTCGCATACCATACAGGTATGTTATAGGTAACAATGATTTAGATGATTTTTTTCACTTATGCATAATCATAAAATAAAATTTACAAAACTAGATGCCTGTAATCCCAGAGGCATTGGGAAGCAGAGATGGTTGGGATCATTGAAGCCAGCCCAAGCAGAAAAAAAAGTTTCAGAGATTCCTTCTCAATGGAGAGCCGAACGTGTTTGTCATCCTAGCTATGGGAAATCTCTTGTGCAGGTGCATGCCTGAGCTGGAAGTGAGATCTTATCCCAAAAATAATGAGCAAAATTCAGAGCTGGAGTTGTGGCTCAGTGGTAAGAGTGCCAGCTTAACAAGAATGGGGTCCTTAAGTCAGCCAAGGCAGAGTTGGTTTGTGTTTCATTTTGTTGTTATTGTTAAGAGACAAAGGAGTCAATTCTTTTATATTTTATGAAGATGCAAGGTACTGAGGTTTTTCAGAGTGGCTCAATGGCTGTGTGTTCAGCCTCAGGTGTAATTTGTTGTCACCCACCTGTGTTTCTTACAGCCTCATCTCCCTGCAGTGTCTGACAACATAAACGAGGTAACATTTCATCAAAAAGACTACGATCGGATGATGGCCGTCATATCAAGAGAAGGAGAAAAGATTGTTGTAATTTACTTTCATTAAATTCTGTTACCAGGATTTCTTTTAAAATTTAGGTTAAGGATATACAGTTCTCTTATGAATAGTAAAGTGATGGGGGGGGCTAGCAGCCTTGGGTTCTAATTCTATAGCTCTGGTTTTGTTATGAACGTAGATAAATCACCTCACTTCTCTGAATTTCATTTTCTTTCTTATAAAATGAGATTTTACACTGGATGACCTCTATAGTTCCTTCTAATTCTAGTTAAGCAATTTTACCCATGTTTCAAATACTTTGTTGAGGGCTGGGAAGCTCAGTGGTAGAGTGCTTGCCTATACATGAGGCCCTGGGTTCGATTCCTTGGCACCACATAAGCAGAAAAAGCAGAAGTGGCACTATGGCTCAAGTGGTAGAGCGCTAGCCTTGGGCTGAGGAGCTGAGGGACAGGCCTAGAGTTCAGGCCTCATGACAGACAAAAAAATACATAAAACAATTTGCCTTGCATTGAGGTATTGTGATTATTAAGAGTGTGACATTTGTTAAAAAAAAAAAGCAAAAACAAATTCCTGTCTATTTGTAATGCATGTGTATTACGTATTTTAGTTGGACACTCCTGTCATGGCCAAAGGTCCGGTGGAGATTTGGCTTCTGGACTTGTTAAAAGTGCAGATGTCATCATTGCATAATATAATTCGAGCTGCATTCTATCAGATCAGCGATTCGGGATTTCAACTCTTACCTTTTCTCCAGCACTTTCCAGCACAGGTGAGAAGACTATTAGCAATAAGAAATGAAAGTTGAGGGGCTGGGAAGGTAGCTCAGTGGTAGAGTGCTTGCCTTGCATGCATGAGGCCCTGGGTTCGATTCCTCAGCACCACATTAGCAGAAAAAGCCAGAAGTGGGGCTGAGGCTCAGGTGGTAGACTGCTGGTCTACAGCTGAAGAGCTGGGGGACAGCGCCCATGCCCAGAGTTCAGGCCCCACAACTGACAAAAAAAAAAAAAGAAAGAAAGAAATGAAAGTTGAAAGCAGGGAGAGAGGGCAGGAAGCCTAGAAGATGATTGGTCTGATGGTGTGGAGGCTGTTTAGCTTTGAACTTCTTGGAGTGGCTATTGACCCTCACTTAACCACAACTTCCAACTCCCTGTCAGCCAACATCATCCTGGGCCAATATAGCCCATTCCCCAGAAGAGGACTTGCCTCCTCCTCCAGACTTAAACCACTGATATCTTTAGTGGGATACCAAGGACAAGCTTTTCCCATTCTCACTTTCTCTTCAGTAGGTAAATATATAGATAGAGAAGTTGACATAAGGACATGGTATTTACATGTGGAGATCAAGAACTGTGATGGGCAGAATAGTGTTTAAAAGCTGTGAAGAAACCTTTTGAAAGTGCTGCTCAAGAAAAACAAACACAACCAAAAGTCTGTCTGGGGTTCTGTTCTTGTGAATGGATGAATGCCATTATCATGGGAGTAACCTATCACGAGATTCGTTTTGTTATGAAAGCAATTTCTGTGTGGCACTAGCTCACACACACGTGTCTTGTTCTTATGCCTAGTCTATGGTATTCTGTTATAGCACCACGATGGACTCAGAAACATAGTTTTCATTAAAGACTCGCCATTATCTTATTTATCTGTTTACATTGAAACAAAAAGTGATGGAACGTTAGAAGGTATTTTCCCCCTTTTGAAGTAGAGAAATGCATGTCTTTTTCAGTTTAAAATGCGACAAATCCTATATGCCTTCAAAGTATTTAAATACTTGAAAAACAATGTAAATATCTGCCTATTATAGGTTGGGCTCCTGGGAATTCAGATGTTATGGACGCATGATTCAGAAGAGGCTTTAAACAATGCAAAAGATGACAGGAAGATCATGCAATTGACTAATCAGAAATTTTTGGACATCTTAAATACACTTATTAGTCAGACAACACATGACCTGACCAAGTTTGACAGAGTGAAGTTTGAAACTCTAATTACCATCCATGTGCATCAAAGAGATATTTTTGATGACTTGGTAAAGTATCCTTTTTTACCTTTATTAAAGTAATTTAGTATGATCACTAATAATGACTAGTAAAGATCTATATCTATATATATTCTAATTTTTATGGATTTTTTATCTATTTGGTCCTTTTTTCCTCCTCCGTGTCTATGTGTACCATGTCAATAGATACCTGCCTGTATTGGGAAGTATTTTCATTGGGTACTCTTTGACAGTGTGGAACCAATTGATATAATATGAACCTAGATAGATGCCCAGGAACATGGTGTAATTGAGGCAGAATGGGTCATGATGTTTTGGTGGGTAGCTGGGAAAGGAGAAAGTCAAGCTGAATGGAATTGGGCTTCAGGGACCTCTCCTGGCTGGCTCATTGACAGCATCTGAGTGGGTTCATTTGGGAAGAGGGTGGTTGTAAAAGGAGTAGTGTTTGAATTCCTCTTGGATATAGAACTCTAGCCAGTGCACTGGGCCAGGTGAACTCCTAGAGATCCATGTGCTCTGTGACAGGAGGGCTCCCATGTTGTTTTAATATACCACAAAAATCTCTTTGTCTCAATTTAATTTGTCTTAAAAGCAGCTCTGTCCTTAATTACACACATGATCTATACAACTCAGGCCCTTTTTCAGAGATGATCATCACAGGCTATGCACTTTAAACTTTTACCAAAAATGCTGATCAGGTAAGTTCTGTTTGTTAAAGATCATGTGAAAGATATGCAGCCAGTCCATCTATTTTCCCTTGCACTTTTCAAAATGTGATATGTATTGGCCTCACTTGATAGCTTGTTAGAAAGGCAGACTCTTTAAGCTTCTCCCCTGATCTCTGACCTACTAGATCAGAAGCTACATTTTAACATGATTCCTAGGTGAATCCTATGCATGGTAAAGTTTGAGAAAAACTGCTGCGAGGTTTTCTCTGGATCAAAGTAATCATTAGAAAGCTGTGTACTTAGACAGATTGCTTTGGCCTTCATTGAATTGCAATTGCTATTCTACCTGGATTTCCATTTTAGTCCACCTCAACACCCCCTGCTGTGGAATCCATTATCATGTCTATACTGTGACAGTGCAGTCCATACACTTCTCACTGACGTGTAAAGCTGTGGTTCCATAGGAGACATTTCTTTTATAATGGAGTGTTTAGCAAAGCTAACTGTGCAAAGCATCAACAACTACAACAACCATGCTATGCAGCGACAATTAGAAAACTCTTCTCTTTGCATTAGTCAGTACTGACCTTACCCCAACTAAAATAATACCTCATGGTCAGAATATATGCCTTTTCCCTGCGTAATGCTTCCGACAGTATAATACATAGACAACCAGACTCAATAAATATACATTGGGCATTGTTACATTCTTTCTTATCCACCTCCTCCTTACATCTTAGTGCATTTTTGCAAACACCTTGCTGACCATATCTCCATAGTTACGGGTTTCTTAATGTAGGAGAGCAGGGCCTTGAGGCCAGTCTCTTATTAGAGCTGGGCATTGGTGGCTCACCTGTAATCCTAGCTACCTAGGAGGCTGAGATCTCAGGATTGTGGTTCAAAGCCAGCCTGGCAGGAAAGTCCGTGAGATTCTTATCTTCAATAAACCATTAGAAGTGGCACTGTGATTCAAGTGATAGAGCACTAGCCTTGAGCTGAAGAGCTGAGGGACAGCACCCATGCCCAGAGTTCAAGTCCCATGACTAACAACAACAAAAAATGATCAGTAAAAACTGCTTGGAAGGCAGGAGAACTAGATTCCTTATTATTTTTTAACTGGAGGGGCATCATGGTCACAACAATACTACAAACAACAGTCTACTAAAAAGCAAGAATGTTTGCTGCTTTTTTTTCTTGATTGCCTGGAGTGAACAGGACAAAGGAATCTTCAGGTTAACATGAAGCATCTAAGCTGTGGTTGTGGTAGGATGGAGCTCCTAAGAATGCTTCCCTGGGTGGATTTCTTCTAGTGGACTAAGTGTTAGAGCATGCATCCTTGATGATGGATCCTAGTCCTTCTTGCTCTCAGGTATTTGCTGATGACAAGGGAGGTTGGCTGGCCTGGCCCTACTACTGGTGTAGGAAGATGTCTGTGATATATAACCACATATTTCTTTGCCCAATACCTTCAGTGGCTTCCAGGTGCCATGATGATAATTCCCCAGGGAGGATAATTTTCCCATGGTCCTATAAGCTTCTTTCTCTAGAGTCCTGGGACTTCAGTTGTACTAAACTTGCTAGGTCTGTGGCCTTTGGCTTTTACATACCTGGCTTTACTTCTCCTATGTATCTTAATATTTCTTCTCTGAGTGTTTGTCTCTTACCCCCCTAGACTAGGTTAGGAAAATTCACAAATCCTGAATTTCTTTGGTGGTATTTTTCATCATTTGTTGAAATGCCTTTTTCACTGTTTGTCCTCCCCTCCCCACGGTGTTTTGTTTGGTAAGTTCAGGGGGCACAGCCATGTCTGTCTGTGTTCACACAGTTTAGTATCCTGATCAAATAACTGTTTGTTAATGAAGGAAAATCAGTTCACAAATGAGTGACAGTGTCATTCATTGAAGACTATGTCATTGGAATTCAGTATGTAACTCTCGTATTTCATGTCTTTCAGGTAAAAATGCACATCAAGTCTGCCACTGATTTTGAATGGCTAAAACAGAGTCGATTTTATTTTAAGGAAGATTTGGATCAGACAGTGGTGTCTATTACTGATGTTGATTTTGTTTACCAAAATGAATTTCTGGGGTGCACCGATCGCCTCGTTATCACTCCATTAACCGATAGGTAGGAAACCAAGTATTTGTGATTCCACTTTGTCAGTAAATAATGAACTTGAAATTGCTTTAGGATTACATTTGAAATATTCACAAAACCATATTGCTGTCACGTTGGATCTTGGCTAGTTCATCAGTTAGTCTAACAATGAAATAACCTTCGGCTGTTACTTAAATGAACATGTACATGAAATTTTTATGAAGCCAAGAAAGATAAAGGATGAAAGCAAGCTTGAATATTGACTTTGAGTAATTTAATAATGAATTTTAGATTACAAGATGGAAAAAATACCCTCAGGATCATAAGAGAAGTTTTTAGAACTGCAAAGAAAGAAGCTATGGTGGATATCATTGAGTTTTAGTCTCTTGGTCTTTTAGTTGTGAAAATGGATATCTAAAGTAAACATTCTTGGCCTCAGTCAATCAATCAATGACAGGTCCCCTCACAGTTCTGTCCAGCATAGGACTCTAGCAAGAACTGGTTGTTGGTGGTATTGGTTTTTTTTTTTTTTCATCTTCATATCTCCCACACCACCAGTTCAATATGCTGCACAAGGAAGGTACTCAATAAATGTCTGTAGAATTGATTTAAATTGGATTTTACAATATTTAGTTGTGCTGTGTCTTTAGGTCTGCTCCCGTGTAAAATTATGGCCCAATCAAAGTACAACTTGGGCCCTGCCTTACTTTCCCCAACCTCTCCTCTCCCTTCTGCATGGCCAGGGCTGGGGCAGCAGGAATTTGTTGATGTGCTTTCCCTTTTACACATTGTGCTTCATGTCTGAGGATGCTTTACTAAGACCTTGGCTAAATTTTACTTAGATATGGGACAGATATCACACAAGCTGGCTCATAGGTACAGGATGATTTATTATATTAGTTATTTATTCTTCTTGAAGTCATAATGCAACAACTTATGTGCAGTGTGCTGCGCTGACTTGTATCTGCCAGTGAGAGCCAACCTTCCATACTTCCTCCCACTTGCGTGGTTTCCACATGCCACGGGCCATGGTGGAGTGCTTCTACCACAGAAATGGCAGGCAGAGAACAAAGCAGGTGTATTCCCCGCTCTCCCTGGAGGGCCAGTTGTTAAAACATCTGTTAGCACATCACTGTTGATTCAGTGCTTATAGTGAGCAATAGGAAGAGGGCTGGAGCACTTAAGGTTGATGGGTTTAGAAGCTTGTTTCAAGAAGTGTCTAGGTCTAGTGTACTACTTGTAATGAATATCAAACAGTTCAACCTTGTCTGGTGGCTGCTTTTATATGGGCTGCACAAACACTAAACCAGGCTTGAAATCACTTGGACATTTGAGCATTAGATTTCACGTCCTATGTTTCCTGTAATGTGTGTTATCCCCTATTCAAAAAGCTTCTCCTGAATAACTCTTGCAGATGCTATATCACGCTAGCGCAGGCGTTGGGAATGAACATGGGAGGTGCCCCGGCCGGCCCTGCAGGCACTGGCAAAACAGAAACCACAAAAGACATGGGCCGGTGTCTTGGAAAGTATGTGGTGGTTTTTAACTGCTCAGATCAGATGGACTTCAGAGGCCTAGGAAGGATTTTCAAAGGCAAGTGTCAAATAATGTTCAATTATGTTTTTGCCAAGTTTAGGGTTTTTTTAAATGGCCCATTAACATTATTTTTGGATATAAAATAATGTTATCCCACATAACCAGTATTAGTATAGGTTGATCTATATGATTTGCCTCTTTTTCTGGATCCAAAAAGGTAACTAGTTATCAGTTTCATATTAATACTGTTAATATTAATATCAATACATATTAATACTCAATGCTATTTCATGGTGCTACAGTCTACATTCTACTGAATGTAGATTATAAAACACAGTGTATGGTGGTCTAAAGCAGTACTGGGACAGGGGCTGAGGTCAAGGTGATAGGTGAATGACATGGCTTTCCTTTCTTTATTAAATCCACCGAAATGAAAAGTTTTTAAAAAGCATAGAAACCTTGACAAACAAGGAGTGTCCAAGTCAGCAGTTGGGGAATTTTGAGGAAGTCTTGGAAGGTTGGAAGGAGATGATTTCAGATAGACAGAACAACGAGGGAAAATATTCAAGGGCCTTTCTGTTTTAAAGCTCAGTTCTTGGCTTTCTTGTTTGTTTGTTTGTTGTTGTTGTTGGTTTTTTTTTTCTTTTGTGGGTCATGGGGCCTGAACTCTGGGCCTGGGCGCTGTCCCTCAGCTTTTCAGCTCAAGGATAGTGCTCTACCACTGGAGCCACAGCGCCACTTCCGGCTTTTTCTGCTTATATGGTACGGAGGAATCAAACCCAGGGCCTCATGCATGCAAGGCAAACACTTTACCACTGAGCCACCTTCCCAGCCCCTGTTTGTTTTTTAAAATCCATATGCATTCTTTTGGTGAGCTCACAAAAACACTAGCATTAAATACCATTTATAGAATGACTCCCAAATTTATATCTCTAGACCAGTCTTCTTGAAACTCTGCCTCCACGTATACACTAATGTCTACGGGACACCTCCACTTAAATGTTCCTTAGGGGCAAGTTCACTATATTCAAATCGAACTCCTGATCTCCCTCTGCAGACCTACTTCTGCCTCAGCCTTCTCCATCTTCCATTTCTCCATCCTTCTGATTTCTCAGACAAAACAAAAAAACAAACAAACTGACCTATCCTTCATGATTACATTCTGCAAATAGTACTCATTGTCAGCAAGTACTATTAGTTTCACCCTAAAGATTCACCCCCACATCCACCCCACTGCTGTCATCCTGGCTGTCCAACACCCATCATCTCTTACCTGGGCCATTTCAGTCAGCCTCCTAGCTGGTCTTTTGTTGTCTAACCTTCCCCTCCATCCTAGTCTCAAAGTCACAGCACCACCCTCTGTTCACATGGTGGTCAGATCTCAGCAGCCCTGCCGAAAGCTGTCCTAGTGGTTTCACTCAAAGCCAGTGTTTTTACAACGGTCCTGTATTCTCTCCTAGGAGGACACCAGTCCTCCCTACATCCCCAGCGCACTGCCCGCCCTCTGAACTCATCTCCTAATTCTTTATCCTAATTTGTTCCCTTTCTTCGACAGCCATATGCACTCTCCTGATATTTCTCAAACCTCTGAAGCCTACTTGGCCCCCAGAGTCTTCACATTTGCTATACCCTGAGCTACCCCATGATACCCCTCCTCATGGCCCATTTGAGAAAGGGCATCTGCTGAAAACCCATCTTTGAGATGACACTTCTTCCTATTCATTTACTGTTTCTTTGCTGGTGTGTTGGAACATCTCCAGTCTAAAAGAACCATGTTCTAATGGAAGAGATGGGCTCTTGTTAACCTGAGAATTAGGGATGATTGAGAGACACAGAATAGAGAGTAACAACATAAGATGCCAAAATTATATAGTAGAAGGGTGGAGAAAAAGGAAAGGTATTTTTCCTCTCTGTAAAAGGAGTAGTAAAGCTCTGTGAAGTGGATGTTCTTGTCAGAGGTCAACACTAGATGAGTCTATGCCAGGGAGGCAGGGCCCAGGAACTGGGGCAGATAGCAAGTACCAAGCCCAGAGCAGAAACTCTTCTGCATTTGCCATCTCTTCCTGCAAAGCAGTAGAGGCAGGCATAACCCTGAAAACAGGAATTTGCATTTGGAATGAGAGTAAATACGCTCAAAACCATTATGCAGAGATAACAGAGTCTTACACAATATTGGAAAAACTGAAGAAGGCACCCAACAACAGTAGACTTACTGATGGCTAAACTGAATTACAGAGGAAACAAGAAAACTCAAAAGTAAGTAACAATAATAGCATCAGAGAGATTTAAGAATTAATCACGTTCAGCCCATTAAGGAAAAACAAGTTGATGTGAGAAAGTAACAACTGGGTTTCTTACAAATTGAAAGTGCAAATCTCTCTTTTTTTTAAAAGCTCTTGAATTAGAACATCAAGTCAAGAGAAAAGATTGCAAAAAGAGAAAGTTTGACAGAAAAATTAAAGGTCAAAGACACACATAGACACAGACACAGACACAGACACACAAAGACACACAGACACACATAGACCCACAGACACACAGACACAGACACACAACACACACACAGCATACACACACACACAGCTGACATCAAAAGAATAGAAGTTCCCAAGAGAGAGGGAGAGAGAAGAAAGATGAGGTGGGTAATAATAAAAGAAATAAGAGCATTTCATATAGCTGCAGGTAATGAAGGTTTTCTTCCTTGGAGAATACACAGGAGCGGTGGTCATGAGAGCCCAGGTCTAGGTTTTGTAAGAAATAAATAAAAATCCCTTTGGCCATTCCCTTTCTTAACCTGCATCCTGACATTTCTATCACATTGCAATAACAAAAAAGAAAAAGAACAGAGCGATCTGAACCTGAGGAGACAGGCCTCATTTTGTGGATTTCCCCAGACACTTGTGTTTCTTCTGCCCTCCTCCCCACTGAAGGCAGCACCCCCAGATTCAACTGGAGTCCATCACCCATCAGCATCCTTGGATTGAATCAGAAGTTTGTGCTTTAATTATGATAGTCTATTATTTTATTGTTTTTGGTAATCTTATCAAATAATCAAATCATTGCCTTCTCGCAGGCACTAAATGTCTTTATAAATTGCCAGATAGGAAACTTTACATAATTGGCATTTAAAATTATAATCGTTGGGGAGCACTTTGGAGAAATGATTGCTATCAAGAACATGGATTATTGAGGAAAACTTTACAAATGAGATGTTTTTCATGCCAGGTCTTGCACAGTCTGGTTCCTGGGGCTGTTTTGATGAGTTTAACAGAATTGAATTGCCTGTGTTATCAGTGGCGGCCCAACAGATTTATATTGTTTTGACAGCAAGAAAAGAGAGGAAAAAACAGTTCATTTTTTCTGATGGTGATTGTGTTGATTTAAACCCAGAATTTGGAATCTTCTTAACAATGGTGAGAACATGGGCTTTAATTACAATTTGGTTAAATAGTTACAGGCTTAAAAAAACCTGAATATCAATGGATAATAACTGATAACTATATTCTTATGGTATATTAATAGGTATTAATGGGTACTATGCTCTTAGGATATATTAATGGGCAACATTATGGTATATTAATGACTAAATAAATGATAGCATACTCTTTTTGAGTAGTAAAAGTAGTAAAGTAGTTAATACCAGCTACAAATATTTGTTGAGTACTCATTATGTGTAAGAGTCTGGTCTAAACATTTCATATTACTGAATTATCATGACTCAGGCAGTGACAAACAAACCTGAGTTGCTTTAAGTCAGAAAGATTTAGTTCTCCTTTGTGCCATGTGTCTATTGTAGGTTGACTAGCACAGAAGTGGGAAAGCTAGAGTCTGCTATGTACATCCATACTCTACTACTAGGGTACTAAGGTAGCCACTATTTCAGTAGTTGCTGAGAATTGTGCTCTGGCTCAGTTTCTTTCTAGAAGTGATACAGGTCACAAGTCTTACTGGCCAAAGCAATAGACATGGCAGTGGGGATGGGGAAGGACTATCCTATTATGTACCTAGAAGGAGAAGGGACCTGAAAGATTTTGGTCAGTAGCCCTAATGACCCATATGTGCACCTTATTTTGCTCTACAGCTGTGATGGCTCTTGGAGCTGGATATTTTCTTAACTGAGGAACTCTAAGCTCAGAGAAGCAGAAAATCCTGCTAAAGTCCCATGAGCAGGAGAAATGAGCTATTGTTGTGTTTCTAACATCCACATTTGACTGCTTCATCTCTACACTTAGTTTTTCCCTAACTCTTAAAGTAGCAAATGACTTAAAAAGTTTGAAGTAATTTGACAAGTTCCAAGCCCAAAGAATTGTCATGTAGTATTTAGTTAGCATATGGTTATGGGAAGAACACTGACATGTATTATTTTAAAGATTGAAAGCTGAGGTGTGAATAAACAGGAATTCTGCATTTGGGAAAGGAAGTTAATGTGAACCACTTTCAATGTTTATATGTATATATTATCTTTAAAGTCAAAGTCTCTAAGAGTTGTAAGATAACATGAAAGTCTCTGTTTGAAATGTCCCAGCAGATAAAGATAAATTATAGATAGCAAGAAAAATTTCTGATAAGGCTTTTTGCAAAAATACAGTAAAGCAGTTAGGGGAAAGTAGCCGTAATCCAAAGATATGGGATTTAACTCATGGGATGAAGAAATTAACTCAGTGTGGAAGAATTTATAAGAAGCTTAACATTCTCGTGAATTAATTATAATAGAAATATCAATTAGATATTGCATTAAGCTATGAAAAACTAAGACAAAAACTCTCAATAGCTTAACATGTAAGAATTTATTCTCTTCAGATCTCTCTGAGTTGCTATTCAATCAGTTTCCCTCTTGAAGGTCACTTTATGACCCAAAGGCACAGAAAGCAAGTCTGTTTCATTAGATAATAGACTGACTCCCTCCCTCCAGATAAACATCTATTTCCTACTGTGCCTCACTTTGCTTCCTACTGTATGGAATCTAAGCATGCCAGTTGCAAGGCAGGCTGGGAAATGTAGTTTTAAAAAGACTCCTGGGTGGTGGTGATATATCCAGCTTGGAAGTGGGGTTCTGTGATTAAAGAAGGAGTTCTGAGAGGCAATCAAAAATCCTTGTGTTTCTAGCACCTAGCAAGGCATCTGTTGTTAGCACCAGTGTTCAGGGGCTGAAGGTTTCTTAATGAACTGTCCTAAAATAACCACGATTGGCCTTTCTTGTATTGGAACCCTCAGCCTTTCCTTTGGGACTTGCTGGGGAAGCCTTCTACCACTGGAGCCATACCTCTTGCTATCAAAGTACTTTTAAACAATGCCCACAAAGAATAAGTGAAGAGATTAACTAAAATTACCTAGTAAGCTTCTTAGTACAAAATCCTGGTTTTTCTCCCCTTTCAAGGACATATTTTAGGCCATAATTATTCTGTTATTTTGTTCAGTTTTCTATTTTTTTCTATCTTTTAAACTACTACACAGATAACTTCCTTTATGCTATGTGAACTTGTGTGTGTGAGACTTTAATAATATGAAGGAAATGGATATATACATACATGTAGGAATGACTAGAACGTAATTAGATATGGATGGTACAATATACATTTTGAGAAAGCAAGAGTCTTTTATGAATCTAATATTTTTCCAATGCTGCCTCAGAATCTGAACTAGAGGATCTGAAGTGTATTTATAGTCAGAAAAGGAAAATTGCATCAGTAATGGGAAATTAAGAATATGTTTTCAACTCTTAGAACCCTGGATATGCTGGGCGCCAGGAGCTGCCAGAAAACTTGAAAATCCAGTTCAGAACTGTTGCTATGATGGTCCCTGACCGACAGGTACTCAGTGGGCGTTTAAAGCACCAGTGATGGGCTTTCTCTGTTTTCTCTTAATTGCTGGGGGTGGGAGAAAAAAAATCTCATTGCCTCCATTTTCAGATCATTATGCGGGTTAAACTTGCAAGCTGTGGCTTTCTGGAAAATGTGATCTTGGCTCAGAAGTTTTATGTGCTTTACAAACTCTGTGAAGAGCAACTTACTAAGCAGGTAACTGTTTGGTTAGTTTTTCCCTTTGCTATTCATTTATTTATATATTTTTTTCTTTTGGTGAAAGTCTTGCTATGTACCCCCAGGCTGGCCTGGACTCACTATCTGGCCCGGGTTGGCCTCCAAGCTGCAGTCTCCCTTTCCTCAGTCTCCCCATAGTTGCTGTGGTACAAGCGGGCACCACCACATCTGGTGTTTATTTTGTGAGTTTACCTTGACATATGCTAGCTAGTTTAAAATAATTCTCACTGATTCCTCCCCAAATACACTCATAGTAATCATAGTTTTTGATTATATATGCTTAAAACCAGTTTCTTTAGAAATAACTGCAGATTCACAGGAAATTGCAAGCCACAATAGGACCTTTTCTAATACTGACATCTTGTAACTGTGGTACCATATAGTTCCAGAAATTGATAGTGTACTATCCACAGAGTGCATTAAGGGTTCACCAGTTACACATTCACTTGTGTACAATTCAAGTAGCCACGACCACCACAATCAATGTGTGAATCAGTTCCGTCCCTGTAGGGGTCCCTCATGTCTCTCCTTTCTCCCGAGTCCCGAGGGCTTTGTAGCTACTGATCTTTCTTCCATCTGTAATTTTATTTCAAATTTTATTTGTAAATGGAATCGTGTAATATGTAACTTGTTGCTTATACATTTAAAACCTATTTTTTGTCTTTCAAATGGTATCAGGCTGTGTAATTTTTCAAAAGATTTAAGGTATGTGCAAACATTTAACAAAGAAGAAGAATTTAAGCATCTGGCTCGTGGCTGCACAACAGCTATCTGTGTTTGCATGGGTCTACCCATTCAAAGGTTTTTGTTGTTGTTGTTGTTTTGATTAAATATCCTGTCCCCCTCCTCCCCCATCTTAGGTCCATTATGACTTCGGCTTGAGAAATATTCTATCTGTATTGAGGACACTTGGATCACAAAAGAGAGCCAGACCAGAAGACAGTGAATTAAGCACAGTCATGAGAGGACTGAGAGATATGAACCTTTCTAAATTGGTATATTGCTTCCCTCAACTCATTTCTCTTCCGAGACGTTGACCTGGTTTCTTTGTGTTCATCTGATGAGTGAGAGGGCTGCTTGATTCGGTCCTGTGAGCACTGAGATTACAGGAACGATGGAGCTTCCAGGAGAAGGCCTCCTATTACTCTCCTATTACTCTCTACGGCCAAGTGCCCGTGTGTGGGCATGGACCATTGAGGGTTTGGGTGGCTTCAGATTTTCAGCCCAGTCCTTTTCTATTACTCATAGCATAACACAAATTGAAACCTGAAAATCTGTGTATACAAGGAACCAGGAGAACTTTTTACTCTGTATTATAAATAGCTTAATCTCAGATGTGCCTCTGATAACACCATTCATACTTTGCAAGAAACCTGCTGTTCTCGGTGGGAATTATGTGGGGGGAGGGCGTTTCACTGCTTTCCTGCTTGTCACGGTAATGACTGGATGTTGAGTTTTGTTTTGTTTTTATACTGGTACAAGGACTTGAATTCAGGGCCTGGGTGCTGCCCCTTAGTTTTTTCTCTCTCTCAAGGTTAGCACTCTATCACTTGAGCCATAGCTCCACATCCAGCTTTTGGGTGGTTAACTGGAAATAAGAGTCTCTTGAATTTGTCTTCTAGGGCTGGCTTTGAACTGTAGTGTTCAGATTTCAGCCTTCTGAGCAGCTAGGATTTTAGGAGTGAGTCACCACTGTCCACCTTACATTGCATATTTTTCAGGAGGGGCAGATCGTTCATGTAATGAGACAATGAGCTCACACTTTGGAGCAGTAGGTAGAGGCTAGATTGTAGACGGCCAAGGAAATTTGGGTGCAAAGTGGACTCAGGGTGGTAAGCACTAGAGGCCACAAGTATGAATAGGAGAGCAATAAAAGACTCTCAGACATGAAGTGATGAGTGCAGCCAAACTACCCCAGTAACGTTTGTTGACTGACTACTTGTATTTTAACCTCTGCTTGCCTAGGTGGATGAAGATGAGCCCTTGTTCCTCAGCTTAATCAACGACCTGTTTCCAGGATTACAGCTGGACAGTAATACATATGTGGAACTGCAAGCTGCTGTGGCCAACCAGGTTCAGCTAGAAGGACTGATTAACCACCCGCCCTGGAACCTCAAACTTGTACAGGTGAAAAAATTTTTTTTTTGAGATAGTAGTGGAGCTTGAACTAAGGGCCTTGTACTTTCACTTGGCTTTTTTACTCAGGCTGATGTTCTACCACTTTAGCCATAGCTCTACTTCTACTGGACATAGGAGCCTCATGGACTTTCCAGTCTAGGCTGACTTTGAACCTTTTTTTTTTTTTTTTCCAGTCATAGGGTTTGAACTCTGGGCCTGGGCGCTGTCCCTCAACTCTTCAGCTCAAGGCTAGCACCCTACCACTTGAGCCATTTTCAGTTTTCTGGTGGTTTATTGAAGAGTCTCACTGACTTTCTTGCCCGGGCTGGCTTTGAACCGTGATCCTCAGATCTCAGCCTCTTGAGTAGCTAGAATGACAGGTGTGAGCCACCAGCGCCCGGCTGGCTTTGAACCTTGATCCTCAGATCTCAGTCTTTTTGACTCTATGGGCAGTACAGCAGATAGTGTGTGTTGTTGGAGATCTCCATGTGACTGCATGATCTTGGTCTTCCTTAATGGTAGTAGTGAAGGTAAATGAGAATGTTATGTGGACACGATTGTAAGAGTACGCAGGGCAGGTGTTCATCTGAGGGCAAGTATGGGTTGGCCCTGACTCGCAGTATACAAGATCATAAGCAGGGTGGTAACCTGAATGAACCTCAAGGACATTCGTGATGTAAATGCATCAACCCAGCTGGCCTCTTGTTCTAATATGGCAGTATTGCCTGCAACAGGGGCCTTTGTTGGGCCCAGAGCCTGTAGGTTCTGAGTGTGCTGTTTTCCTGCTGTGTGTGTGTGTGTGTGTGTGTGTGTGTTTGTGTATGTGTGAGAGTAAGTGTGTTATCTCTGGTTCATATATTTCATTCTTGTGGCAGGCAGGAGGTTGTAACATACAGTATTTCCCTCCCCAGCTTCTGTGTGTTTTTGTTCCTAGTAACTAACTAAGGACTGAAGCCACTTTGTGGGTTGTCACAAAGAGCAGACAGTACCAGAGAGCTTCTTCTCCCGCTCCCAAGCCAGCCTCTCCTTGCACAAAGACGGATGGATGATGGAATAGAAGTCACGTTCCCCTTCCTGATGGACAAACTCCTCAGTGTTAACTCCCGCTGGAGAGGCTCCCATCCTTGTCCTTTTCTCCCATTCCTTCCTCCATTTCTCCTGGGAGCAGTCCATAAATAAAGCACCTGCACTCCAAGGTGTGCTTGGTGGGGGGGGGGGGCGGGGCCCACCAGTGCTGGGCTTCACTGCTATGCTTGGCGTTGCTGCTTTCTACCACCAGGGGGCGTTATCATCACACTGGATGCAGACAAAGTTTGCTTGTGGGAAACGACTTCTAGTTCAGCAAACCCAAATCACAAATAGTTGTTTGAGAAGCAGAAACTAGATCGTGAATTAATTATGTCCAAAATGTAATTCAAGTCCCCCCCCCATTTCCATGACTTTATCACTTAATGTCCTTTTTAATGTGACGCTCATTTGCTCTCCCTATCTAGTAAAACAAAGAACATTTTTTACATCCTTTAAATACTGAACAAGTTGCTTTAATAAAGAGCTTATTTCAAGCCCTTTAAATTTCAGCTAACTACTATGAATGTCAGCCAGAGACTCATCAGCTACATTTTTCAATTTATTGTTTAATTGTGCAGTTATATGAGACATCTCTGGTACGGCACGGCTTGATGACTCTTGGGCCCAGTGGTTCTGGGAAGACAGCCGTTATAACAATTCTAATGAAGGCGCTGACGGAATGTGGAAGACCCCACAGGGAAATGCGAATGAACCCCAAAGCCATTACTGCACCCCAGATGTTTGGCAGGCTGGATACCGCTACCAATGACTGGACCGATGGAATTTTTTCTACTCTGTGGAGAAAAACATTAAAGGCTAAAAAAGGTATACACAGGCTTGCCTTATCAGTCACCTTTTACCCGCGCCAGGTCATCCATCATGATCAATATCAGTATTAATTGCTTGTGGATGGAGAGTGATTTTCCTGTTTGAATATTTTGCAGGTGAAAACATTTTCCTCATTTTAGATGGTCCCGTGGATGCCATTTGGATTGAGAATTTAAACTCTGTGTTGGATGACAACAAGACCCTCACATTAGCTAATGGGGATCGCATTCCTATGGCCCCCAGTTGTAAGCTTCTGTTTGAGGTCCACAATATTGAGAACGCATCTCCAGCCACCGTGTCTCGCATGGGCATGGTCTACATCAGCAGCTCCGCTCTCAGCTGGAGGCCGATACTACAGGTAGGAACAAGAAGCTCCTAGCAGTCCTGTTCACTTTCTGCCATTTCCAACTTGCTCGATAAACAGAGATCCTCTTCCTCCACTGCAGGCATGGTTGAAGAAGCGTACTGTTCAGGAAGCCACCACATTCCTGAGTCTGTATGACAAAGCATTTGAAGATGCTTATACATACATGAAACTAAACCTCAGTCCCAAGATGCAGCTCTTAGAGTGCAACTATATTGTGCAAGTAAGAATTTGTGGGGTTTATTTTTGTTAATACAGTTTATAGAAGAAACCTTAGAACATGGTTGTTAAGCTCTGAGAGGCTTGCTTCCTATTTTAAAGAACTTGTGCTGGTTGCTGGTGGTAAACACCTTTAATTCAGCTATTAAGAAGGCTGAGATCTGAGGATCAAGACTCAGAGCCAGCCTGGGCGGGAAAATCTGTCAGACTCTTATCTCCAGTTAAGCAGCAAAAAGTCAGTTTAAGCTCTAGGAATGGCCTGTACCTGTACATGTGCGCATGCGTGCATGTGTGCGCATACGTGCGTGCACTCATACACACATATCAAAAAGCTTTTGCAGATGATCTTACTGTCTGCCATTTCTTTATCATTGTCTCTTTGGAGGGTTGTCAGGGAAGAGGGATGGACTTTCTTCCCCAATAGCAGCATTAGGAACTTGTTCCAGGGAGTGTGTACTAATAATGAGGGGAGATAAAATAAGCCAAATAAGGCTTGGTACAAAGATGAAGAAAAAAAAAGGAGCTTGTAGTAATCAGGAAATCTTGGTGCTAATCTTATCCTGTACATTTAGTATAAATCAGATAGAGAAAAAGTTTAAGCAAAAACTGAGTAGTAGTTTTCCTCTTAGTTCTATTTTCTGGATTAGCCTTTGAGAAACCCCAGAAATAGTCATAGATTGTGTGTGTGTGTGTGTGTGTGTGTGTGTGTGTGTGTGTGTGTATCTGAGAGAGAGAGTGGTTTTTTTTCATATCACAAAGAAGAAATTTTCTTTTGTTTTTATTTCCTGGAATAAATATTATGTGTGTCATCAGATGCGTATAGGCATTACAGTTTTGCATTCCTCTCCTGAGAGTCTCCTCCTTTGGTCTTATGTAAGCACAGTTTTAAGGACCCTCTTAATTCTGGTCTGTTGGTGGTCATGATCCATTCCAGTGCTTTGATTTTCAGTGTCATGGCTGGTGTATAACCCAGAGAGGCTGGGTAGGCTGGAAGTAATAAGTAAGGTCCACATCAATGACTTATTTAGTAATGATATTTTAGAAGTATAAGAGAAAATTTTATCTCAAAATAATTATATTTTCTTAGCCGGGCACCAGTGGCTCATGCCTGTAATCCTAGCTACTCAGGAGGCTGAGATCTGAGAATTGCGGTTCAAAGCCAGCCCGGGCAGGAAACTCTGTGAAACTCTTATCTCCAATAAACCACCAGAAAACCAGACGTGGCACTGTAGCTCAAGTGGTAGAGTGCTAGCCTTGAGCTGAAGAGCTGAGGGACAGCGCCCAGGTCCAGAGTTCAAGGCCCACAACTGACCAAAAAAAAAAAAAATTACATTTTCTTAAAAGATCAGGTAGTAAATATGTTAGTCTTCGCACAACCTTGCCCTACCCATTCTGTACTGCTATTATAGCATGAAAGCTGCTGGAGACAGAGACGGAAATGTCTGGATGTGAATTTCCCAATAAAACTTTATTGATCTCGCTTCTCATCCCCCCCCCCCAGCCCAGACCACAGTTTTCCAAGTTCTGAAGAATATTACAAAGAAATAAAACTTTTGATCTAGAAAGTTGGATAATCAAACAACTTTAGAGGACATCTAGACCAGGCTTTTCAACTTTAATCAGATTAGGAAAATAACACCCAGAGAGATTAGTGACTTCACAAGCTGAGAAGAAGCCAGGCCTTCAGCTTGCCAGCCCAGGATCCTTTCTGCCTAGCAGAGGTAGACTGGTCTTTTCTCCTAAATGCTGGGACTACAGGACACTAATCAAAAAATAACTTGAGTTAAGACACTATTTGTTTTCTCCTCCTGCTTTTAGTCTTGTTTTATCTGGAAAATTTTTATTTAAAAATTTCTCTTATTTAACCCATTTTTCAGTCTCTCAATCTCCTGGAAGGTTTAATTCCCTCCAAAGAAGAAGGTGGCGTCTCGTCCGTTGATCACCTCCATAAATTGTTTGTCTTTGGTCTAATGTGGAGTTTAGGAGCCCTTTTGGAACTAGATAACAGAGAAAAACTTGAACTCTTTTTACGAAATCACGGAAGCAATTTAGACTTGCCCAAAATACCTAAAGGCACAAATCAGACCATGTATGAGTTTTTTGTTACTGATTATGGTAAGTACAACAGATTATACCTTAAATGAAATAACTTTTTTAATGAGAGGAGATAGCTAATTACGAGTAAAATAATCATGTATACCATTTCAATATCAATTCAGCATGTTAATGTATGACTATAGTGCATCTTGGTCTTTGTCACCCCTTCTATCATTCTTCACCCATCTATCCCAGCTCCACACATCCAAGTAACCTGGTTCCATTTTCACATTGAGTGATACCTTTCTTGGGAGGGGGGTAAGGTGGAACTGTGGTTTACCCCAGGGTCTCTTGTTTGCTAAGGCACGACCCCTTCTTGAGCCACATGCCCAACCTTGTCAATCCTGGGAAAAAAAGGAAAAGAAAAAGAAAAAATAGCAGTGCCAAAAGTAATTACAATTTCAGACTTCAAACTTTACTACAGAGCTATAGTAACAAAAACATCTTAGTACTGGCACAAAGATAGGCCCAAAGACCAATGGGACAGTCTAAAAGTCCCAGAAATAAACTCATATACCTACAGCCTTGACAAGGGAACCATAGATATAGGTTGGGGAATAAAAAGAGAGTTTCTTCAACTAATGGTGTTGGGAATACCAGATATCTATATGCAAAAACTTCTCTCGCCCATTTGCTGAGTCCCTGCAACTCTACCCAGGAAGTTCCCGTTTATGCCAGTAAGTTCTCATGTTTCTCCTATGACTTCCTGTAGTAGTGGTAGTGTCCAGGTTTCTGGCTCACTGAGGTCTTTGATCCATTAGTACAGCATGACAGATAGGGACCCGCTTGAGTTCATTGTCTCTTCATACATCTTTTATATGTTACCTTTTTTTTTTGGCATGAATATGAATACTTTTAGAAAGACTTTATTCCTAGTCAAATATGGAAACATTTGTTTCTAGGCAAGATGGAGGTAGTAGAAACTGGGTTTAGTTACTGACAATAGAAAGCTAGGAAATTGGACAAAATGTATGGCACTGTTTTTCAGACTTTGGATAAGAGACAATGAAAATAATGGAGTGAAGTGAAATCCGGTGACTGGGTCAGGTCACTGAAGGAAGTTTCCAGAAGCAGCTCAGCGAGGGGAAACCCAAACCAAAAAGATGAGGCAGAGATAGACTTGGGGGAGAGACCAAGTGGCTAGAGCTTGTGGGACAGGGCCCATAGAGAAGTGGGCACAGAGAGGGGTTAGAGCAGCAGAAACAGACAGGCAAGCTCACAGCCACTGAAGAGGTGTCACAACTGTTAGCAACGGATAGCACAGACAAAGTATATGGAAGGGTTGAACAACCCAGCTGACCCCTTTTACCTAGTGGACCCAGTTTAGAACAGTGTACTCCAAGACAGAAGAATATACATTCTTTTCAACAGTACAGAAAATATTTACCAAAATAATCTGGGTATCTAACATTTCTCGAGAGCAGAGCTTGGGAATGCATGCTTGTAACCCCATCTGCTCTTCAGGTGGAAGAAGGAGGATGGTGAGTTCTAGACCAACCAGGGAAACATTAACAAGACTCTGCCTTAAACAATGGGGTGGGGTGGGGTGGGAGTCGTGGCATGGCCCAAGTGGTAGATGGCTTGCTCTGTAAGCAGGAGGCCTTCAGCTCAATCTGTAATATAGCCAAAACCCACCAATCAGCTACCCAAATTACCAGCAAAACAAAACCGGTGAAAACCTCCATGGCATGCTTTGTGTCTATATTACAAAAAGAATATAAAGGTTGCCATTAAGCCCCAAAGAAAGCAGAAGAAAGAAATAATAATGATTAAAACATAAATCAGTGAAAGAGAAAATAGAGTAATAGAGAAAAATATCAAGGAATCCAAAAGGCGATTCTTTGAGCATATCAATAAAATCAATAAATCTCTAGCTAGAGATTTCAAGTTAAAAAAAGATATAAATTACTTTTACCAAGAATGAAAGCAGTGGGAGGGAACAGATGGGATGAGGAGAATGATGGAAGAGGTGGATTATAATAGAGTGAATAGTGGGGGGGGGAGGCAGGTTGGGGGGGGGGGGCGGGGGGAGGGGGGGAAGGGATGGGAAGGGGAAACAAAGGAGGCTACAATGCTTGATAAGAAATATACTCATTATCTTGCCCATGTAATTGTAACCCCTCTGTACAGTATTTTCACAATAATAAAAAAAAAGAATAGAATGAAAGGGCTGGGAATATGGCTCAGTGGTAGAGTGTCTAGCATGCATGAAGCACTGGGTTGGATTCCTCAGTACCACATAAACAGAAAAAGCCAGAAGTGGCACTGTGACTGAAGTGGTAGAGTGCTATCCTTGAATAAAAGAAGCTCAGGGACAGTGCCCAGGCCCTAAGTTCAAGCCCCAGGACTGGCAAAAAAAAAAAAAAAAAAGTGAAAAAGGAGGCATTAGATAAGTAGATTTGTGAGCATGTTTTAGGCTAAGTACTTTAAATGTCTATATTGATGCAACTGATTGCTTATGCAAGTTTTACTTTTGTTGCTGACATACTTTTTGAGTGCATGTTTATTGAGATGAAATTTCACTTATTGCCTAGGTGATTGGGAGCACTGGAATAAGAAACTTCAGCCATATTATTATCCAACTGACAGTATTCCAGAATATTCATCAATTTTGGTTCCGAATGTTGACAATATTAGAACAAGTTTTCTGATGGAAACCATTGCAAAACAATTTAAAGTAAGTTTCATAGATGGATTCTTAGGTGATTATAAACCATGGAAGGAACACATCTGCTTTCACGTTCAATGACAGAAAAATTCAGCTCTAACCCCAGGGGGTCTGGAGGTAGAGTCACCAGACAGAGACACTTTGCCAGATGAACCCCCAGGTCCCAACTCATATCCTTTGAGCTGGATTTTAAAAACCTCTTCCTCCTTCTCAGGTCACGTGACTAGGTGGCCATTCATCTTCTAGCCTTACAGAGCACTGTATGCATTTACATTCAAATGTTCATCTCAACTTGGATTTACTTGGATGTAGGTATAATTCAAAAAATGCAATTTAAAAAAAGTCCTTGTGGTAGTTTGTCAGAGTAGCCAGCTTAGTCATAAGATAGTGGGTCCTAAGTGGGTTGCAATACCACTCAACACAGCCTTCGCAATTGCAGGCTGTTCTGCTCACGGGAGAGCAGGGAACTGCAAAGACTGTGATGATAAAGGCCTATCTGAAAAAATATGATCCTGAAGTCCAGCTATCCAAATCCGTCAACTTTTCATCTGCCACAGAACCAATGATGTTTCAGGTAAAAGGCATCATTTTCTGTAGTAATAAACCCTAAACATCTTAAGTGGGGTTGGAGGCCTGGCTCAACTGGTAGATCATCTGTCTACCAAATGCAAAGCCCTGAGTTTGAACTTCAGTAATGTCTAAAAAAATGACTACAGTATAATGTATATTCCACATATATATGTATACATTTCCACATATATATAAATCAAAAGAGATAGGGCCATACTGATAACCAACTAGTTAGCCTTATGGTTAAGGTTGAAGTAAAACTCAAATAGCATACTTTGGCCTAATGTTGATGTTGAAGCTGAATTTTGTTGGTGGTGGTGATGGTGGTGGTGAGGGCCTGGGCATTGTCATTGATCTCTTTTTTCGCTCAGGGTTAGTCCACTACCACTTTGAGCCACAGTGCCACTTCCAAGTTTTTGAGTGGTTAATAGGTGATAAGAGTTTTATGAAGACTTTTCTGCCTGGACTAGCTTTGAATTGTGATCCTCAGATCTCAGCTTCCTGAGTAGCTAGGCGTGAGCTAGTAGCTAGTAGCTCACAGGCGTGAGCCACTAGTGACTAGCTGTGATGCTGAATTTTTGAGTAATCTATTTTGATATAAATTAATGGTTAATATCACTTATTTAAAATATTTAAATATGTATTTCTTCTGTATGTGTGTGTGTGTGCGCGCGTGCGCATGTATGTGTTGGTACTGAGGCTTGAACTCAGAGCTTTATGTTCTCACTTGGCTTTTTTACCAAGGCTAGTGCTTTACTGCTTGAGACACACCTCTAACTTGATTTTTTGCTAGTTAATTGGAGATAAGAGTCTCACTGAGGGGCTGGGAAGGTGGCTCAGTGGCAGAGTGCTTACCTTGTATGCATGAGGCCCTGGGTTCAATTCCTCAGCACCACATAAGTAGAAAAAGCCGGAAGTGGTGCTGTGGCTCAAGTGGTAGAGTGCTAGCCTTGAGCTGAAGAGCTGAGGGACAGCACCCAGGCCCAGGATTCAGGCCCTATGACCAACAAAAAAAAAAAAAAGAAGAAGAAGAAGAAAAGAGTCTCACTGATTTGTTTTCTGAGATTAGCTTTGAATCTTGAATCTCAGATCTCAACCAGGGTTATTGATGTGAGCCCCCCAGTGCTCAGCTATAATATATGAAAGTGTTCATTGTCTTTAAAGTATCTTTTTTTTTTTTTTTTTTTTTGCTGGTCCTAGGCTCTACCACTTCCAGCTTTTTCTGTGGTTAATTGGAGATCAGATTTTTCTGCCTGGGCTGGCTTTGAACCATGACCCTCAGATCTCAGCCTCCTGAGTAGCTAGGATTACAGGTGTGAACCACTGATGCCCTGCTGAAACATATAAAATTTAATGCATAAAACAAACCCTTTCCTTTTCTCTAGAGAACAATCGAGAGCTACGTGGATAAGCGAATGGGAAGCACATATGGGCCCCCAGGAGGGAGAAAAATGACTGTCTTTATTGATGACATTAATATGCCTATTATTAATGAGTGGGGAGATCAGGTATGACTAAATTATCTCATAGATGACGCTTCATCAGTATTCTTAGCTCTGTCAGTCGCCTGGATGTTTTCAACTATACTAATTAGTTCAGTGTTTTTTTGACTTCTCTCTCATTCCCTTGTGACTCTGGCAACTTTGACTTCAGTATCTTTTTGGGTCCTTTCTTGCTTCTACTTTCCTTCAGGTCTGTCCTTGAATTCACTCCTCCATTCCCTTCCCCGTCCTCTCCCCTCCCTTCCCTTCCACTCCAGATTAATTTGGGAGTGATGTTACCATTGAACCAAGTATCTCATAATCAGTCATGTATTTGGTAGCTAGTTTTATCATTATAGGGAAGGGCGTTTCTTTGACCATCCTCTGCACACCTGTGATGGTGGTGAGAACACAGGTGGTGTAGCTTAGGTCAGATTGTCCTGAAGGTCATCATCAATGTCAATAAGCACTTCCCTGGTTATGGAGGTGAATGTTTTCTGCTCCCCTCATCGCTATTACTTTACAGAAGCTCTGGGAGAAAATGAGAGTGATACGTTACAAAAATATTGTTGTGTGAACTTGCAGATCACTAACGAGATTGTGCGGCAGATGATGGAGATGGAAGGGATGTACAGTTTAGACAAACCCGGAGACTTCACCACCATCGTGGATGTCCAGATCATCGCAGCCATGATTCACCCCGGAGGGGGTCGGAATGACATTCCGCAGCGGTTAAAGCGACAGTTCACTGTCTTCAATTGTACACTGCCATCCAATACTTCAATAGACAAGATTTTTGGTATGAATGTTCTTGGGGGCAGAAGCCATACAGAACTTGTTCTTTAAGAATTAAAAAATCTCTGTCTAAAATAGGGGTCAAGGTTGGTGACAGCAAAACCTTGAAAAAAAATAAACCCTCATGTATTTATTATCAGAAAAACTGTTTGAGTAAACTATGGCAAAGAAGCATGGTGTTACACAATATAGCTGTGAAAATAAGTGAACACAACCTCGGCAGGAAAATAGCCCCAGAGAGACTGACTGGAAACCCCAAACCAGGGAGCAAAGTGCAATTCTATTCCATTCCATTCAAGTTGAAGTTGCAAAACACCAGTGAGCTCTAAAGAAAAAGAGGGACCTTGATCAAGATGCATTATACTCATAAACTGACATCTTTGTAAAACTAAAGGTCATTAAGAAACTAGAAATAAAGCAAAGCAATTATTGCTTCTTGCCAAGTTGGTTAGTGGCTCTGGCTGGAGGGAAGAAGGCACATGAAGCAACACAGAGGGACTTCCAGTATCCTGGGCCCTGTCATGCCTTCATGATCTGTATGTGAGTGTTTACTGCTCAACACGTTCTTTGGAATGATTGATGTATTTAAGTAACTCCTCGGTGAAGACCATTTCACTAGCGCCTGGCCTGGTGCTAATCTCTACTTCCTGACCCCAGGCCCAATGGTATACACACACACACACACACACACACAGACACACACACACAGACACACACACACAGACACACACACACCACACACACACACACACACACACACACACACACTGAAGACCATTTCACTAGTGCCTGGCATGGTGCTAATCTCTACTTCCTGATCCCAGGCCCAATGGTACACACATACACACACACACACATACTTCTCCCACAGGAAGGAAGACCTCCCAAGTATAGGACTTGAGCAAGGCAGGAGGCATGATAGGCAGCTAGCAGAACCAACCAGGATGTTAGAGGGTGGTTCCATGTTTCCCCAGGGCAACTCCTGTACGGTACATCTTCAGTATGCCCTGCTTTCATAAGCCTGCTTTGCATCTCCGAGCAGATAATCATATTTATAGTCCTAGGAAAATGCCATGTTCACAGCTGAACACACAACTCAATATGTAGTCTCACTGGAGTCTTTTAGAGTAGTCTATACACCTACTTACCCAGCCTTGCCCAGGGAAATGGTATCTATCATATTGTCTCTGTGCTAGCATTCCCAGGAAGGGCTACTTGCCTATCTCAGGTCAAAGTACTGACTCACTTTGAGTCAAGCGATGTGGGTATCAACGTGTGTCTCAACCAGCAATCCATGTGACCCAGAGCGATTTCCTTTGTCCGAGCTTGGTCTTTTTCTCTGTAGGATGAGTCCAACTTGCAGGTGCTTCGGTATAGAGCCAGGCTACCTGGTTCACCCACAGGCCAGGCTACCTGGTTCACCCACAGGTGAAATCTGTGCCTATGAAACAAGGTACTGAGCTCGTGTTAAAATGGGGATGATGTTGATGATGACAGTCACCTCAAATCCTTTCTCATGGAGTGTCAGGAGAATTAAATGAGTTAAAACATGACTCATTTATTAATAAACTTGGCTAGTCACTTCCCTTCTTAGCTAATCCCTTCAGAGAAGTCTTTAACATCACATGGTTTGTTAGCTTGATATACACTTGGATAAACATATACCTTGTAATCTTTATATATATAAACTATATGTAATATATATTATATATATAATCTTTAGTTGTACAAAAGAGTTGCCCTTCAACAAAGCAGTGTCTTGATCAATGTCACCCCTTTAAACATTCTCACCCATCCCCTCCAACCCCACCCCTTTCTTCACTTTTTTTTTTTTTTTTGGTCAGTCGTGGGGCTTGAACTCTGGGCCTGGGTCCTATCCCTGAGCTCTTCAGCTCAAGGCTAGTGCTCTACCACTTGAGCCACAGTGCCACTTCCAGTTTTCTGGTGGTTATTGGAGATAAGAGTCTCACAGACTTTCCTACCTGGGCTGGCTTTGAACCGCGATCATCAGATCTCGGCCTCCTGAGTAGCTAGGATTACAGGTATGAGCCACCAGCACCCGGCTCCATTCCTCACTTTTAAAAATGTTGTAGGATATCCATTGAATTCTTGACTGCACTCTCCCCTACTGTCTTCCCTTCATCCGCCTACCCCTCTCTTCTAGTAAGCTTGTGTCTTCACGCTTGTTTGTCTTGTAGGAGTGATTGGCTGTGGATACTTTGATCCTTGTAGAAAGTTCAAGCCTCAAATATGTGATATGATTGGGAATTTGGTCTCAGTGGGCAGAGTGCTGTGGCAGTGGACAAAGGTATGGCAGAATGGTTTCTCCACGGTCACCTGTCTTTAGCCTTGCTCTCACCTTGTGGTTCAATAAGTAATAATAACATCACATTAAGTAGTGTTCGTTGGAAGAGACAAATGAGGTGCTGAGATAGATTTATATCACCTTTTCCTTCCAAGGAACAAATATTCTAACCAAATGATGCTTTTCAAATGTGTGAGATATTAGTATCAAGCAGACATGATGTCCAAGACAAGGCACAATTTTGCTGAAATGAGAACACTGTTCTTGCGCTTGAGTCTCGGGTTTGTAGCTTTGTACGTCTGTTACCCCCCTACCAAACCGTATCAGGCAAACAAATACTTACCAGCTGAGTCGATGCGTGGCCTTCCAGATCTTGGCAGCCTATGACTTGATGTAACATATGTTTCTTGGCAGTGGAGCGTGGATGTTAGTATTTGTTCTTAACAAAAGAGGCTACATTTTGGAACACAAATCAGTTCCCTAAAAAGAAACCCAGGAAACGTGTAGCTGTCAGCAGATAACTGAAGGATGTACTCAAAAGTGTAGATATGGGATTACAAGGCAGACATAATTTGCCAAAAAGTGGTGAAGGATATAAGGAACAGCCGTCTCATTCACTATGCATTTATTCAGCCAACTGCCCACATCTAGGAACTTGGAGTACTTGTGGCCTGGGAGAATTCTAGCTACAGAATTATCAGGAGAAACATTGGATATTTCCTAAAGAATGTTCTTTTTTTACTTCTTCATTATTTAGAGAATACTTGGTTAGTTTCTATAATCAAACAAGAATGTTCTTAAATAGGATGTTCTTTCAGGATTTGCATTGTGATTAACAACCACAGCAATTATTTAAGCCAAAACACTGGTCACCACTGGGTACTACTAGGTACCACTGACTACCTCTGGGAACCCCTTTTTAATTTCCCTGTCTTATAACTTTCCATCTCCATCAACAAGTCTCAGTGATCTCATCTGTAAACACTTTCCAAAGCCTTAAAAAAAAAAGTCCCCTCTTAACCATGGATCTTCCTAGGAGCAGAAATTGGCTAAATTTATGATGTGTTTTTTGTGACAAGAATATGAACTTAATTCATTTGTTCAGTTTATTTTATTGAAAATAGAATTTGTAAGATGCAAATAGTTCTTTAAAAAAAACTCAGCCCAATTCTTAGTTTTATCTGGAAACTTAATTAAGAGTATTAATTTTTTTTGTCTTTAGGTGAAGATGTTGCCGACACCTTCTAAATTTCATTATATCTTCAATCTTCGAGACCTTTCCAGAATTTGGCAAGGAATGTTAACTATAAGAGCAGACGAGTGTGACTCTCTTGCTATTCTCCTGTCACTTTTCAAACACGAGTGTAACAGAGTGATTGCAGACAGGTGTGTATTAAATGTACAACCTAAAAGTTTGTACTGCTATGTTCTGACAGCATCTACTCAGATCAGTGAAATAAGGACACTCTCTCAGATTTTTATGAGACTTAATGAGGTTTAATGGATGACATTTCCTGTCCACTAGTCACCTTAAGGACATACTCTTATCACCTGAGCACAGTGGCTTAAACCTGTAATCCCAGCTCTCTGGGACCTGGAGATCAAAGGATCTCTGTTAGATGCCAGCTGAGGCATAAAGGGAGCCTCTGCCTTAGAGTAAGCAAGGCAAAATTGTATTAGAGGTCTGGTTCAAGTAGGAGAGCACCTGTCTAGTGATCATTAGTTCAATCCCCAGTCTTTAAAAACAAAACAAAAAAAAACCCACAATAAGAAAAACCTCAAAATGCTCTGCCAGTTTACTGAAGCAATACTGTAAGAATATACATCTTTAACAATCACCCTATCATCAGAATTGACAGAACTTAGCAGTAAATTTTAGTTGTGTATGTTTTATGAAAATAGTGAACTCCATGTGTAGTTTCTGCATGGTTGAAAGCTGGTTTTTATCCCATTAAAGTTAAATCCAGTCATCTTTCTCAGCCCCAGTTTCCTCTTCTGTCATACTTGTATGACAGCATTAGTTGCGCAAAATAGCAAGGTGTGCAGCACTCCACATCATATTTCAACAGTCCTCCTCACATGAGTTCCCCCTTCTTCCCTCTTCCCTTTGTGACATTGTAAGTGCAAAGGACCCTCATGCATGGTGTTCACAAATCCCGAGAGAGGACTGACATCTGCCTGGTCTTGACCCCCATGTCTGTACTTCCATTGCCAATTTTAGGCATCACAGACTTCCCCTAGGGGATTCACATCTGTTTTCTATAAGCAGTAACTGCCTTGGATAGGGTATAACCATCTTATTCAGATGGAGAGCTTATGGTTCCCCTGCCCTGTGGTGTGGTTAGGGGCGTTGAGTGGGGCCAGAGAGGAAGGGGGAGGCTGAGCTCCTGTACAGGCAGGAGAGATGTGTTCCTTGTTTGCATTCTTATGGGTGTGTCTTCCTTCAGATTTATAACTCCCGAAGACGAGTACTGGTTTAACACACAACTTGTCCGTGCAATTGAAGAGACCGTTGGCTCGGAGGTAGTGTCATACATTCACCCGGAACCGTATTTTGTGGATTTTCTCCGTGACATGCCTGAACCAACTGGCGAGGAACCTGAAGACTCTCTATTCGAAGTGCCCAAAGTCTATGAATTGGTATTTATCTTCAGCTCTTATAAGAGTTTTCCAGGTCACCCAGCTCCCTGGCCATTTTGCTCTATACTTGAGTCCCATAGAGTTGCTATGCCTTCTAAATTGCTTCTGCGTTGTAATTCATAGCCATCACTCACCAAGTCAGTAAGTCCCTTCAAGGAGATGCAGAAACAATCCTATTAAGTCATATACAAAACATATATGTCACCCTACTGTCACCTCTTTACTTATAGAATTACTTTGAAAGTTCCAAGCTAAATGCACCGCAATGACAAAAATAGGTATTACTAATCAGATAAGGAACCCATCCAAAAAATGTTTCGGTAGGGAATATGATTACCTAATTATATAATCCAAGAGAATTTTACATCTGTTTTAACTAATAAGAATTTCAATAAGATAAGCAAGGATTTTATAAATATGAAACACAGTAATTCTCCTCCCTAAAAGGAGCTGGCAAATTAGACCACAGGTCAGACCTTCTGGTGCCTGTTTGGAAGGAGCTTCTTACTTTTTTTTTTTTTTTGTCGCTCGTGGGGCCTGAACTCTGACCATCCCTGACCAACAAACAAAAGATTGAAAGGAGAATATAGAACTATTGCTTTCATCAGCAACAATATGTAGAACTTAGCAGGATAAAACTTCTTTTGAAATGAGAGCATAGAAGTTTTCCTAAATGAATATATTGGCTTAATGGAATTAATATCTAGGTTGGAAGCAAGATTCCAAAGGCCTCTTTAAAAAAAAATCACAAGATTACATAACAAAGTAATTTAAGTGCATGGACAGCTAACAAACAGAAAGGAACAAATAGCAAAACAAAGTGGGGGGATTTGACTACATACACAATGTAAAACTTGTGAATGTTAAAGCCATAAACAATTAAAAAGCAGACCCAAACTAAGAAAATTACTTGTCACATTTCACCATTAATTGCATGACAGGAATCGGTGCTGGGCCTCTTGAAGGGAAAGATCAAACATGATGTCTCACTGGAAATCCATTTATGTTATTAAGTTTCCAGGCTCTAAAAAATGGAAATAACTAAAAGTAGACTAATGCCTATAAACACCCATAAAGTTTACAAAATCTTTCTCTATAGAACTGGGGTTAGAATTCAGAGCTTCGTGCTGGTTAGACATATGGTTCAGCCCTTTTTACTTTAGTTTTTGGATATTGTCCTGAGCTTTTGCCCTGGACTGGCCTTGACCTCAGTCTCCTCCCTCTACTATTCCACATCTGAGATTACAGCTAGGTACCACTCTGCCCCACTTTTTTGTTGAGGTAGGTTTTTGCTAACTTATTGCAAGGTAGCCTTGAACCAAGATCTTTCCAGTCTCTACCTCTTGAGTAGCTAGGATTACAGGCATGAACCACAGAGCTTTGGGTTTTTTTGGTGGTTTGGTTTGTTTGTTTTCTTTTCTTTTCTTTTTAGCAAGAGTTTCTTTTGAGAGTCTTTACAACTGTGGCTTAAAATTTGGGGATATTAAATATTATCTCTCTGTGTCTCTCTTTCTCTACAGATACCATCATATGAATTTCTGGCTGAAAAACTGCAATTCTACCAAAAGCAGTTCAATGAAATCATTCGAGGAACTACTCTTGATCTGGTGTTTTTTAAAGATGCAATGACTCATCTTGTTAAGGTTCTAATTTACAATTTCCTGATACAAATATATGTATCCAAGCTTAGTAAATTTCACAGACAAACCTGTGGTGAAAGAATAAATATGTCCCTCCAGATAACACTGGAGTGAATGTTCTAGGTTAGGTCTTGGTCAGAAAACAAAGACTTCCTTAGAAACTCCATATCTGCATCCATGCATTGTGGCAAATGCTTTTCCACAGCAAATTGATGGTTTCTGTGTGCAGAGCTTTTGGCCGTGCCAAGTCAAAGAGCTTTACCTTTCTCATAAGGAAGCCAGAGGACCGGTAAAGGATCCCCTCTCAGAATTACACTGTTGATGTCCCTTGAATCTTGCTCCCCAAGGAGGAAAAAGATGATGCTTCCCAAAAGCCCATTGAGCGGCTTGTATGAAGAAACACGCTGGTGGGGGCGGAGGGCTGGTCTGGTGTTCAGGCCTGATGATCCAGCAGAGTCTAATTGGTCCCAAATGGGTCCCTGGTTTGATTGAAACTTGAAGAGTTACAGAAAGCAGTTTATTAACTTAGGGGATTGGTTGATTGAAAAGGACTTCCTGAAACTGATTGCATGGACTAGGCAAGTTCATAAAGAGGAATTAGCCTGAGAGGATGAAATTCCAGATAGCTAAGGTTCCTACCTTTAGCATTCAACAAGTAATTCAACCAGTCCTGCATGGCTACATCATGAGGAGCCTGAGACGCTGGATTTAGGTGCAAAACCACACAAGTGATGAATATACTTGATTAAAAAAAAGAAAAGAAAAACTAGAATTAACACTGGGCACTGGTGGCTCATGCCTGTAATCCTAGTTTCTCAGGAGGATAGACCTAAGGATTGTGGTTTGAAGCCAGCCTGGGCAGGGAAGTCTGTGATATGTAAAAGAGAGATTTTTAGCATTGCCTGCAGTTGTCCTGAATAAGATTTGAACCTCCATTCAAGCCTTCTCCTTACCAAGCTAATCAACCATAGAAAAGCAACACAAGGCTGAAGGCCACCTATCTATAAGTCTTCTGTGCATCCATTTACCCAGAATTTTGGCATTTTTTTAGAGCTGTGACAGAGGCAGTATTTGTTGCAGATAGGTGCCTACATGAGTCCATGTTGGCTAATAATTCCACTCCTCCTTGCATCTCCTACAGCTTGAGAAGAGGGGCTTCATCAGCAAGTCTAATAAGAATTAAATCACACACACACACACACACACACACACACACACACAGCAGGAGTACACACCGGAGCTGGGTACCCATGCCTCATGCCTATAAACCTAGTAACTCAGGAAGCTGAAATCTGAGGATCGGGCTTGAAGCCAGCCCAGGCAGGAAAGTCTGTGAGACTCTCATCTCTAACTAACCACCCAAAATCCAGAAGTGGAGCTATAGTTCAAATAGTAGAGTGCTAACCCTGAGCGAAAAAGCTAAGGGAGTTAACAAACGGAGTTCAAGCCCCAGTACTGGCACATGTACACAAAAAAGAATACTCACAGGAGAGAATAGGTCATTTGTTCTGTTTTTCATGACATAAGTGTACATGGATAAAGAAGGAATTTGAGTAGAGTAAATGAACATGAGGCTATTCTTTAAAAAAAAAAAAAGATTAACTGTGACAAGGAAAAAGTCAAATGTAACCTAGTAATAGATGGTCAAGCCTTGGATGCCTTTAGTGCAAAAAAAAAAAGTGACAATTTGCATCCTCCTTTCTAATAGTCACATGTTAATTTCAAAACAGATTTCCCGAATCATTCGAACCTCCTGTGGAAATGCGTTGCTGGTGGGCGTTGGTGGTTCAGGAAAACAGAGCCTTTCAAGACTGGCTTCTTTCATTGCTGGATATCAGATATTTCAAATAACATTAACCAGGTAGAACAAAAGGAAACATGATCATATGTTTTTCTATAGTTAATTTCTTTTGAATTTGTACTTAAGTTGTACTCTTGTGTACTTATTTTTAAGAAAGCAACCATTTGGTTTTTTAGTATATTTTTAATTTAAGAATTATCATATATATTTTCATTTAAGAACTATATATTTTATTTGAGATATATCAAGTATGTCACATCTATCTTATCTCTCTCTCTCTCTCTCTCTCTCTCTCTCTCTATATATATATATATATATATATATATATATATATGAATGTGAGCCATGCTGTTCCTACAGGGTCACATTAAGACTTTTATTATAGCATGGCCAGAGGCAGGCTCACGGTTCTAGTTGAAGGCCACGTATAAAACAAGTTATTTATTCATTTAAATGCTCTATCACTTTTAATGCCTACAGCAAGCTTCACAGCTAGGATGAGGGCATGATGGTTGAGAAGTGTGAGGGAACTTTTCTAAAGCTGCCAAGGAGCCACTTGAACCCAGGTCTTTTAAGTGCTGTTAGACCCCGTGGTTTACACGAAGCTCAACATGCCTTGTTCAGTGGCGCCTTCGTCAGCTGGGCCTCCTTCACAGTGGGCCTCCCCCCAGCTCACCCATGAGCACTTTTATACAGCACTCCAGAAAAAGTCTGCTTTGTTTTTATTTTTATCTTATTTTATTGTAAAGATGCTGAACAGAGCAGTTACAGTTACATGAGTTAAGGAAATGAGTACATTTCTTGTCAAACATCATTATCCACTTGTTTGTTTTCCCCCCACTATCCCTTCCTTCCCTACTCCTTATCCTCCCCCTCCAAATTGTAAAATTCATTTCTGACGTAGTTTCTCACAGCTGGTAGCTGATACCTAGCAGGACACAGAGTAAACCGAAAAACAAAGGCCAGGATCTTTTCGTGATCTGTAAGCACCTTATGACAGTATTTCTGTCATCTGTATGCCAGAAATTGTATCTACTTCTGTAGGCTTTCTCTAGAATTAAACATGTAGCCATGTAAGCAACTACTCTGTATAATCTATCACTGATTTTATCCAGTTAGATGCATCCAAACTGGAGATTTGTTTTAGGGATCTGACACACATTCACTTGAACAAAGTCTGTTGCTGGCAGGTGGCAGGGTGGAAAGTTCATTTCCTGTCCCCACAACTCTTCCCGGGTCACTTCCGGTCAAGTTTGCACCTCACAATTCCCAAGACAGATACAGCACACTTACTTTGGAGGGGAGCACATAGCGCTCTAGTTTTAATCCCCAGGTTTCTGATGGCTCTTATTCCTTAATACTCAACAAAGTTGGTGCAGACCATGCTCTAATTGCATGACTTATGACTGTGTTTTGAAATAAATGACTATACATATGTAATTACATTTTGTAAGCACTTCATTCCAATTGAGCTCATGAACAATTCAGAATCCCCTCCCACGTCTCCCTCTAGGTCTTACAACGTGAATAATCTCATCGATGACTTAAAATTTCTGTATAGAGTTGCGGGCGGCGAGGGAAAGGGCATTACCTTTATCTTCACTGACAACGAGATCAAAGATGAGGCATTTCTAGAGTACCTGAACAACCTGCTGTCCTCGGGGGAGGTAGGTCTCCCAAGGGGAAATACCTGTCTTGCATTTCTTTTGGAAACACAGAAACCCTGAGTTTCTGTTAAGGAAGTCTGTGTGGGATCCAGCATCCAATGATCTCATTCAGAACTGGTTACTCCCTGCCTAGCCACACCCACCATAATTGCAGACCCAGGGAAGAAAAGTAGGATTCCTGGTAGAACATAGTGCTTGTGGGGGCAGCTGAACAACCTTTGCGATGAGTAAAGGGAGAGTTGTTTCTGAAGCCCTTTCCCCAGACGCCGGCCAAGCACCAACTTCCCAAACTCAGCCTTCTCAAGATTAGGCTTGTGCTTATCTTTGCCCCATCCAGGGGTGCCAGAGATGCATAATGGTGCACAAATGTGCTACAGGCTAAGCTGCATTCTGGCACCAGAGTTGACAAAACTTACTATCATATCAGTTACCAGATACTTAAAAAAACAAGACTTGATGAAAGTCTTAAAGAAGATTGTGTGTGTGTGTGTGTGTGTGTGTGTGTGTGTGTGTGTGTATGAGAGAGAGAGACAGAGAGAAAGAGCTACTTAAACATTAGGAAACATGATTTGCTGCTCAATAAAACATGGCACTCTTGTGGGGTGCTGGTTACTCATACCTGTAATCTTAGCTACTCAGGAGGCCAAGATCTGAGGATCACAGTTTGAGGCTAGTCCGGGCAGGAAAGTCCATGAGACTTCTTTCCACAATGAACCACAAAAAAAAAAGCCAAAAGTAGAGCTGTGGCTCAAGCCGCAGAGCACCACCCTTGAGTGGAAAACAGCTAATGGACACCATTCAGTCCAGAGTCCAAGCTCTAGTACTGGCGCTCGTATGTGTGTGTGGGGAGAAATGGGAAGACTACACTTTTGGCTATAGTTGGCTGTGGGGAACTGTTCACTCTCAAGACATTTTTTTGTCTGTTGCTTAAAGATCTCCAGTTTGTTTGCACGAGACGAGCTAGATGAGATCACCCAAGGTCTGATATCTGTGATGAAAAAGGAGTTGCCTCGCCATCCTCCTACCTTCGATAACCTGTACGAATACTTCATTTCCAGGTCCAGGAGGAACCTGCACGTGGTTCTCTGCTTCTCCCCTGTGAGTCTTTGTTGTTTTGAGCATGGTAGGAGGAATTACTTATGGAAACAGGTTTATATGGGTTACTTCCTCCCGTAAGATGTTTGCCAAGAAATGAATCTTTGTCCGGTGGAATTAAAATTAATGAATACGGGCTGGGAAGGTGGCCCAATGGTA